TGATCTTTCCTTTGCCCAGCCCCTTCATGATTATGCATGCACTCTTAGCTTAAAACTTCCCCAATTTTGTCGTATGGAGGGAGAGGACACTGCTTTGGGAAATATCCTCGGTGGTCTCCCTACTTGTTGCAAATAAAACCCTTCCTTTTCCCACTCTTTGGCTTGGTTGTCTTCCGGCTGGACACCCACCAGGAGGAGAACCCAGTTTCCCATGACAGAGGAACCACCTCCCCCTCCTCCTTCACCTCCGCCCTCCCGAGCTGACCCAGTCCACTTACCGTGGTCATTTATCCTTTTGTATCCCTGTTATCCCTTATTTATGCCTTTGCTTAATGGCTCTTCCTAGGCCCCCATGGGCATCACACAATATACAACATCTTTTACCCTCAATTACTTTCTTAAGATACAAAAAACTCCCAATTCTTTTTTTTTTTTTTAAGATTTTATTTATTTATTTGACAGAGAGAGAGACAGCAAGAGAGGGAACACAAGCAGGGGGAGCGGGGGAGGGAGAAGCAGGCTCCCCGCCGAGCAGGGAGCCTGATGCGGGGCTCGATCCCAGGACCCTGGGATCATGACCTGAGCCAAGGCAGACACTCAATGACTGAGCCACCCAGGCGCCCCAAAAAAACTCCCAATTCTGAAATACAACTGCCCCCTGGTTTTCTGGATGAAGCACTGTCTTATCCCCATTTCACAGACATGAAAACTGAGGCCTGGACACGGGGGCAGACTCAGGTTCTACCCTCCAGCTGGTGGCCTTGGGCTGGCTGCCTCTCCCCTCTGTACCTTGGTTGCCTTCTCGGTGATACTGCCTGCCCGCTGGAGCACTGTGCCTCGAATATTTCTTGATCACCACTGCGCCACGGTTGATGAGGGGCTTCGCATCTGCAGAATGAATGGGCCAGGAACACACTAGGTGTAGGGGCACGGCCAGACATGCATCTCCCTCCCCAGGGTGACCACAAGGGGCTGTAGGCCACAGCAAAAGGAGTTCTTAGGACTTTCCAGAAGGGGAGAAATGAAGCATACATTAAAAGTAGAATATTCAAAGATCGTAGCTTGGGGGTTTCACTATAAATAGAACATGAGCACACCATGTAGGAGTGAACAGTGTCTCTCTGCCAAATTCATGTGCCCACAACAAGTAGGGGTGAGTTTCTTCTGGCTGTCAAAACAAAGTAGCACAAACCAGGTGGCTTAAAACAACAGAGATTTATTCTCTCACAGTTCTGGGGCCAGAAGTCCAAAATCAAAGTGTGAACAGCCACAGTCCCTCTGGAAATTCTAGGGGAGGATCCACGCGTTTCTTGGCTACGACCACCTCACTCCCACCTCACTCCGGTCTCCACCTCCGTGTCCACATGGCCTTCTGCCTGTGTGTGTCTCCTCTTCTGTCTCTCTTTTTTTTTATTTGACAGAGAGATAGTGACAGCAGGAACACAAACAGGGGGAGTGGGAGAGGGAGAAGCAGGCTTCCCGCTGAGCAGGGAGCCCCATGCAGGGCTCGATCCCAGGACCCTGGGATTATGACCTGAGCCGAAGGCAGACGCTTAACGACTGAGCCACCCAGGCACCCCTCCTCTTCTGTCTCTTATAAGGACACTTGTCATTGGATTTAAGACCTACCTACATAATCCAGGATGATCTCATCTTGAGATTTTTAATTACAATTACCTCTGCAAAGACCCTGTTTCCAAATAAGGTCACAGTCACAGGTTCTGGGTTTAGGACTTGGACATCTCTTTGGGAGCCACCACTCAACCCACTACAACAGAATAAAGGGTTAGAGTGATAGTTCTCAACTGCCCCTTTGGGACACTGGGCAATGTCTGGAGACATTTTTAATTGTCACGACTGGAAGACGGGGTTGCTCCTGGCATCTAGTGGATCAAGGCCAGGGGTGCTGCTAAGCATCCTACAACACACAGGACTGCCCCCCCACCACAAACAATGATCTAGCCCCAAATGTCAAGGGTGCCACAGTTTGGAAATCTGGGATAAACAAAAGCCCCAGTCAAGTTGGACTTGGCCCTGCAGCCCCACACGTGTCATTCACTGGATGACTTGGCTTTGAAAATCAGTTTCTCTGAGGCTCTCTGCTTCACCTGCACAATGGAATAAAATCGTACAAACCTGGTAGGGCTGTTCCGAAAACAGGAGCCTGGCACCTCATAAAGATTATAGGAGAATTCTCCACTACTGAGATCATTATGCTCTCAGTGCATCTTGCATTCACAACACAGCCAGACTTCCTGGGGTTCTGGTAGGGTGAGGAAAATCTGACCAGGAAATTGTTTCTAAGCAGAATGTAACAAGGACACATTAGGAATGAGCCCATTCACAAAGCCTGGACAATATGAATTAAATCTGGAGAGTGAGGATTTTGTAATTTCCTTTTTATTTTTATTTATTTATTTATTTATTGGAGAGAGAGAGAACAAGCGAGAGCACGTGTACATGAGCAGAAGGGGCAGAGGAAGAGGAAGAGAGAGAGAATTCCATGAGGAAGAGAGAGAGAATCCCCAACACAGGGCTCGATCTCATGACCCTGAGATCATGAGCTGAACTGAAATCAAGAGTCGGACATTTAACCTACTGAGCCACCCACGTGCCCCATTCTTTTTTATTGTTTAAAGCCAACACGAAGTTCCTTTCAGAGTCTCTCATGTTTTCCTAGGCCTGGAAAGATCCTCTAGACCTGGTGTACTAGTTAGCTATTGCTGTGTAACAAATCACCCCAAATTGGAGTGGCTTCATACAACAGGGATCGACTATTATCAGGACCCCATAGGTTGCCTGGGCAGTCCCTCTGCTGGACTCGGCTGGCTCAGGCAATCTGCTACAATCTGCCAGTGGCTGGACTGGAAGATCACATGTGTGGCAGTTGGTGCTGGCTGTCCGGAGAGCGTCTAGTTCACCTCTGTGAAAATTAATGAAGGGAAATCTCACTGAAATGCAGTTGAAGGCCAGAAGGGGGAGCTCTCCTGCCGGTACCACTCCCACTTCAATTACAGGAAGAGATGTCAATTATAGACCCTTAACAGAAGAATCAACAGGAAGGAATTATCATTCATAGACCCCAACAGGAAACTGTGGACATTGCATCTGCTATTAGAAATTGACTACCCAAGCAACTCCGCCAATGAGAAACCATCATCAGCCTGAACTCCTGCTTCTCCCCAATGGACTTCCCTTCAAAACAACCCCTCCCAACTTCCTCTTTCTCCATAAAATCCTCTCCTTTGTTTGTTGGACAAGCCTATGGTTTTTGCCAGTTTGCTGGTCCCGAATTGCAATTCGCTGCTATTCCTGAACAAGCCCATTTTTGTTGGTAAAATAATTGACTGTTTTAATTTTAAGGTCAACCAACACCTCCATGTGGCCTCTTACCCAATAAGCTAGAACAGGGGTCTGCAAACTGCAACTCACCAGCCAAATCTGGCTCACCAGAAGCTGAGAATGGTTTTTACATTTTGGAACTGTTGAAGAAAATCAAAAGAGTAATATTTTATGACACACGAAAATTCTATGAAATTCAAACTTCAGTATCTGTAAATAGAGCTTTATTGGAACCCAGACACATGAATTCATTTACATATCGTTCAGAGCCACTTTTGCAAGACATTGGCAGAATTCGAAGTTGCAAGAGACCCTATGGCCCACAAATCCAAAAGTATTTACTACCTGGCTCTTTACAGAAAAGCTTTGTCAACCCCTGGGCTAAATCAGCTTCCTTGCCTGGGGCCTCTGGAGGCAGCCTTCCAAGAGAATGAAAATGGGAAGCGAGGATAAGACTCATCCTCCAGGGGCGCCTGAGTGGCTCAGTCGGTTAAGCGTCTGTCTTCGGCTCAGGTCATGATCCTGGGGTCCTGGGCTCAGGTCATGATCCTGGGGTCCTGGGATCGAGCCCCGCATCGGGCTCACTGCACGGCGGAGAGCCTGCTTCTCCCTCTCCCTCTGCCTGCCATTCTGACTATCTGTGCTCTCTCTCTATCTCTCTGTCAAATAAATAAATAAAAATCTTAAAAAAAAAAAAAAAAAAGACTCATCCTCCAAACTCACACCTCATGCGCACCACATTCTCTTGTTCAAGCAAGTCATGAAGCCAGTCCAGATCCAAGGAAAGGGGAACTAGTCTCCATCTCTTGATAAGAGGGGGTTGCAAAATACTGTGGCCATGATTTTCATCCTTACCAAGGAATCTTAAGGTGGGCTGTCCCGACTAAATTGAGGAGGGTGGAGAAAAAAAAAAAAAACCCACAGATTTATTTTCATTAACTTCTATTGACCTCAAAAATAAAGTTTGCTAGCAAAAATGGATTTTGTTTGGAAATAGTAGAAAATTGTGATTCGGGAGAAGCAAACTACAGCAAAAACCGTAGGCTATTTCAACAAAGAAGATGAACGTTATTTTATGGAGAAGAAGGGAGGAAGTTGGGAGGGGTTGCTTTGAAGGAAAGCCCACTGGAGAAAAGCAGTTCAGGGTGATGATGGTTAATTGGCTGAGTTGCAGGGGTAGTTGACTTATTGTAGGAGATGCAATGTCCCTCTTTACTTGGTGGGAGTTGGAACTGATCATTCTTTCCTGTGGATTCTTCTATTGAAGGTCTGAAATTGACCCTTCTTCCTGTAATTGACTGGGAGTGGTATGGTGAGAGCTCCCCCTTCTGGCCTCCCATCTCCATTTTAGCAAGTTCCCCATTATTAATTTTTACACTTCTAACTGGAATGCAGCACGTTTTTCATGTCCTGTCAAAGCAGGTATCGGCCAGCCCTGTGACTTTGTCTCCTGTGGAGATCAAAGATAATTTCACATCATATCCTGGCCATTGCAGGCAGGCATCTCAAAATATCATTTATCACAATCGAAATCACAATCATTTGTAGAGCCCTGGTGAATCACGATTACTTAACCCATTCAATTCATGAGGAAGCACATATATTTTACATCACAACTTAATAAAATATTTTCACACCCATATGTCAGGATGACTGCTTTCCTTTGCAATCCTGTGCTTTTTCTTAATGGATTTCTAGCTGTCTCCAGAGAAGGAGCCCATGGGCAGCCCACCCCTACCCTTGGAGGCAGTACAGAATCAGGCCACGGTTTAGGCAGATTAGTGAGGTCCTAAGCTGGCCTCCTAAAGATACCTAATCCCAGACCAGCAGCCAGCCAGCAGGCCCAGGGCCACACAAAGTCCCTCGGCCGTGTCCCCAGCTCTCAGCCAGGGCTGCCATGGCCTCCCTGTTCTCCGGCCACGTCCTGATTCGCAACAACAGCGACCAGGACGAGCTGGACACGGAGGCTGAGCTCAGCCGCAAGCTGGAGAACCGGCTGGTGCTGCTCTTCTTTGGCTCTGGGTCCTGCCCGCAGTGCCAAGCCTTCGCGCCTATCCTCAGGGACTTCTTCGTGAAGCTCACAGATGAGTTCTATGTGCTGCGGGCAGCCCAGCTGGCTCTGGTGTACGTGTCCCAGGATCCCACGGAGGAGCAGCAGGATATGTTCCTTAGGGACATGCCAAAGAAGTGGCTCTTCCTGCCCTTCGAGGATGACCTGAGAAGGTGAGGTGGGAGAAGAGGACAGGGAGGGCTTCCTGGAGGAGGAGCTATTTTTGCTGAAAGGTTTGTTTATTGTTGCCTCTGTTCCATCTGGAATTGATGAGCATGTCCTGTGTGCCCATCTGTACCCAGGCGGGGTGGGGAGGGGGCCACCCAGGGGGGTGCATACGCCCATTTCTATTTAGCTCCCAAGGGGTTTACAACCTAGTTGGGGAGATAGACGTGACACAAAGACTCAAACAAATATATAATAAGAAACTGCAGTAATGGTCCAGAGGACAAAGGGAGGATGCCATGTGGAAATATAATGGGGAGACCTTGCTGAGGTTTGGGGTCAGGGGATGCTTCCCTGAGGAAGTGGCTTTAAAGAAAGACCCCAAGGCCAGGGAGGATAGGAAAGAGTAAGGAGAGGGAAGGGTTTCCAGGCAGAGGGCACAGCAGAGATAAAGGCTGGGAGGCCACCAGAGAAAGAACAGCCAGTTCAGGGAACTGTAAGTAATAACCGGATGGGAGAGGTCCGTAAGCATCATGTGGAGCAGCGCCACAAACCCCATCTGAACGGGAGTGGATGTGGTCCTCAGACTAGCTGGGAGCCTGTGAGGAGGGCCTTGGAGCTGAGAGAGAGGTGGGTAGATTCAAGCTTTGCACCCAGCTGCCCAATAAACAAAACTACAGCTCGTGGCTATCTTAGAACCTTCCCCTTTTCCGCAGTAAGGCATCCCTTCTTTTTATTTATTTTTTTAGTTTTTAGATTTTATTTTTTTAAGAGTTTATTTCTTTATTTGACAGAGAGAGAGCACAAGCAGGGGTAGAGGCAGAGGGAGTGGGAGAAGCAGGCTCCCAGCTGAGCAGGGAGCCCGACGCGGGGCTCATGATCCCAGGACCCTGGGATCATGACCTGAGCCAAAGGCAGCCGCTTAACCGACTGAGCTCCCTAGGCGCCCCTAGATTTTATTTTTAAGTAATCTCTACACCCAACATGGGGCTCAAACTCACAACCCTGAGATCAAGAGTCACACGCTCCTCCGACTAAGCCAGCCAGGCGCCCCGGCTGTCTTTCTTTTTAAACTCGAACTTTTCATTATGAAAAATGTCCAAGATCCCACAAGTTAGAAGAAGCATACAATGAAACCCAGAGCAATCGTTAACAACTTGCCATATTTGCTTTATCTACACGCATGGGGAACTTGCACGGAGCCATTTGAAAATGAGTCGCAGGCTTTCTGACACTTTATTGATTTCGTTAATTTTGCTCCACAAGTTGAAAGTTTCTAGAGACCTTCATTCTGCACCCAGCATTATTAGAGTTTGGACACTTGCTCACTCCTTCTGCCCTCTCTGCCGCTGAGGGGGATCTTTCCTGCGAATGGGCAACATTTCCCTTCCCAGGGTGGGATGAAGCTGTGAGGGCATCAGAGACAAACTCGGACCTGCTGACCTCGTTTGAGGCAGGGTCCTCTCAACAAAGCCTTCACTCGGGCTAGGTTAGGTGTCTGGACAGAGAGTGAGCGATTCCCCACCCCCTTCTCCTCACCCCCCTCCTCTCCACCCTACACACACACACACACACACACACACACACACACACACGAGCACGCTGACGGTTCCCAGATAAAACACAGGCTGCCCAGTTAAAACCAAATTTCGCGTCAACAATGAATAATTTTTTAGTATATGTTTTTTTATTTTTTTAAAGATTTTATTTATTTATTTGACAGAGAGGGGGAGAGAGGGATCACAAGTAGGCAGAGTGGCAGGCAGGGGGAGAGGGAGAAGCAGGCTCCCCGCTGAGCAGAGAGTCCCACGAGGGGGCTTCATCCCGGGACCCTGGGATCCCGACCTGAGCCAAAGGCAGACAGATGCCTAACCAACTGAGCCACCCAGGCGCCCCAGTATACATTTTTAGTATAAGTATGTCCCACACAGTGCATGTTGTGATGTGATATATAATATATATAATATAATATAATATAATATAATATAATATAATATAATATAATATAATATAATATAATATATGAAATGGTGGCATGTCTGAGGTATTGGAAACACAGCGCAGAGGCCACTGCGGCCTGGCCTGGTCCCTGGGCGCCCCCAGCACCCACGGTGCACACGGAAGGCGCTCAGTAAGTCCTGGGAGGGGGGATGTGCGGCTCCCCAGCTCGGGATCAGGGACCGGCTTCCGACCGGCCCGCCCGCCCCGCAGGGACCTCGGGCGCCGGTTCTCCGTGGAGCGCCTGCCGGCTGTCGTGGTGCTCAAGCCGGGCGGGGACGTGCTCACCCGCGACGCCACCGACGAGATCCGGCGCCTGGGCCCCGCCTGCTTCGCCAACTGGCAGGAGGCGGCGGAGCTGCTGGACCGCAGCTTCCTGCAGCCCGAGGACCTGGACGACACCGCGCCGCGGAGCCTCACGGAGCCGCTGCGCCGCTGCAAGTACCGCGTGGACCGGGAGGCCCGCGGCAAACGCGGCTCGGGGAGCGGGAGCCCGCGCGAGGGGGAGGGCGGGGGGGAGGGCGGCGGCGCCGGGGAGCTGTTCTGACCCCTGCGGGGCGGACGCGCCTGGGGATTCTGTGCCGCAACCTCCCGAAGAGTGCCGCCCCAGACACTAAGGGGACACGGCAGGGGACACTGAGGCAGACGTCCTGGCGTTGGGGAGCAGCGCCACCCCCCAGCACGGGGGCCTCGGACCAAACAGCAGGGCTTCAGGAGATGCAAAGTGCTGCGGGGTGGGCGGGGGGGTGGGGGTGAACAAGAAGACAGGCAACCCATTCAAAACTAAGCAAAGGGGCGCCTGGGTGGCTCAGATGGTTAAGCGTCTGCCTGCGGCTCAGGTCATGATCCCAGGGTCCTGGGATCGAGTCCCGCATCGGGCTCTCTGCTCCTTGGGAGCCTGTTTCTCCCTCTGCCTCTCTCTCTCTCTCTGTCTCTCATGAATAAATAAATAAAAATCTTAAAAAAAAAAAAAAACCAACTAAGCAAAGGACCCGAAGAGGCATTTCTCCAAAGAAGATACCCAAACGACCAGCAAGCACACGAAAAGATGCTCAGCATCATCAGCCATTAAGGAGATGCAAATCAAAAGCACCGTGAGATCCCACTTCGCACCCAGTAGGATGGCTGTAATCAAAACCCAGCACATAACAGGAGTTAGCAGGGAAGTGAAGAAAGTGGAACCGTCTAGCATTGTCGGTGGGAAGGTAAAAGGGTGCAGTTGCTGTGGAAAGCGGGGTGGAGTTCCTCAGTAAGTTAAATATATTATGACCATAATTACCAGCAATTCTACTCCTAGGTGTAAACCCAAAAGAAATAGGGACTCAAACAAATAACTGTGTGTGCGTGTTCTAGCAACACTATTCACAACAGCTAAAAGGTGGGAAAACCCCAAATGCCCCTCAACAGACAAATGCATAAGTAAAATGTGTTCCATCCATACTGTGGAATGCTATTCAGCCATTAAAAGGAATGAAGAACTGATACACGGTACAACGTGGATGAACCTCAAAAAACATTAGGCTCAGTGAAAGAAACGGACACACAAAGTCACATAGAGTCTGCCTCCATTTATATAAAATGTCCAGAACAGGCAAATCCAGAAACAGAAAGCAGATCAGTGGTTGCCAGGGCTTGGGGGAGAGGGAGTGGGGAGTGACTGCTAATGGGGAATGGGGTCTCCTTTAAGGATGATGAAAATGTTCCGGAACGAGACAGAGATGCTGTTTGCACAACACTGTGTATGTACTAAATGCCACTGAATTGTTCACTTCAGAATGGTTTCTTTCATGTCATGTAAATGTCACCTCAATTTTTAAAATTAAAAATAAATAAATAATAACAAAACAGGCCGTGGGAAGAACAAAGCCCAATAGCAAAAGACAGGAGAGCCTCCTCAAGCGGGGGCCCTAAAAGGGCCTCGTCCAGGAGGCGACGTTTCTGCAAAGCCTGGAAAGAAGGTTGAACGGAAGGGAAATCGCAGCCAGTTGCAAAGTCCGCAGGTAAGAGACCGAATATCAAAGTGAATTATTTAGAAATTCGTTCAAGTTTCCTTTTTTTTTTTTTTAAACAATGAAACAGGTGCGCTTAGGGCAGTGGGTGGTGTGGGGGTCGCTTTAACGAGTTTAGGGGCTTGTGGGGCTCCCTGGATCCGGCCTCCGAGCCCTTGCGGCTCTTGGGGCGGCCTCTGTCCCTTCTTCGCCCCGCCCCGCGCCGGCCCCGCCCGGCCAGGATCTGGAGGCCGGGAGGGGGCGCCCGCTGGGTCCCCGGAGGGAGGAGAATACTTTGTCCCAAGTTTTCGCGGAGTTTCCTCGTCCCCACCGCGATCCGCACACGAATCCCTCTACGGTCCCCACCGCGATCCGCACACGAATCCCTCTACGGACACCCCTTGCCGTCCCGCCCTCTTCGGAACTCCTGGGAGCCCTTGGACGCCCGCCCAACTCCCCTGCCCCGTTAAAATCTCTTCTATTCCTCGACTGCCCCCCCCCTTACCCCGACCCGCAGACCCCCGCTATGGCCCGGTCGTACGGCGGCCGGGTGCTGGCCGCGATGACCCTGCTGGGCATCCCCGCGGCCGTGCTGGCGGCGCTGGGAGCGCAGCTGCTGTTCCAGCTGCAGGCGGGCCGCGCGGAGCTGCGGGGACTGCGCGCCGACGGGCTCGGCCCCGAGCTGGGTGCCGGCCCCGGGCTGCCAGAGGACGCGGCCGGGGCGCTGCTGCCGCTGGCCGCCGCGCTCGCCGCGCTCGCCCTGGTGTTGGGCCTCACCTGCCTTCTGCTCGCCGCGCTCTGCGGCCACCTGGGCGCCGAGCTGGCGCGGGGGCCCGGCCCCGGCAGGTAGGACAGGCCCCTCCTCCCCGAGGCCCGGTTGGGAGCTGGGCGAGCCTAGGCGAGCCCAGGCGAGCCGCTGCCCCTCTCGGGGGCCTCAGGTTGGGGGAGAGCTTCCCCTCTTCCTTTCTTCCATCCCGTCCTCCCTTGCTCCCCTCTCTCCATCCCCTACTCCCTCTATCATCCCTCCCTCCCTACATCCTATATTAGTGAAAATTTGCAGCAGGTGCACCGACCGCTGCACCCTCCATTTTACAGAGGTGGAAACTGCGGTCACAGAGGACCCAGGGGCGGCTGGCCCCGTATTGAGAGCGCTTGTCATTGAGGGAACCCTAAGCTTTACGTGCTCCTCTCGTTCTGTGGACTAGCCCAGGAAAGGCCCGCGGTCCCTGCGCGGCTGGTGTTGCTACCTCCTTTTGTAACTGTGTCTCACACAGGGGAGGCTGATCTCTCTAGGCTGCCGGGTTTGGAAGCGGGTGGACGAGATTTGAACTTGCTTCTGGTAGAGCCAGAGCCTGTGCTCTGGCCCTGGGTGGGGTTCCTTCCTCAGGCACCTGGGCTCAGGAACATGGGTACCGGGGCGGCAGGTGTCGGGGCAGGGAATGCTGGGAGGAACCTTCCCAGTGTTTCCCTCCAGGATGCTGGGGGAAGGGAGCCAGAATCAGGGTCCAGGATTCCACGGATTAGAACGGATGGGAACTTCCACCACTGGAGTCGATCCCACCTAAAGTGTGCACTATCCATTCCATAGCTCAAGGGGTTTTGAAATGCACTGGTGGGTCAGTCAACAAATATGTGTTGGGTGCCTGCAGAGGGCTGAGCCCAGCACCGGGAGTAGAGGACACAGCAGAAACCAGGCGGACCCAGACATGCCCTCATGGGGTAGACAATAGAGACAAGACGGTAATGTCAAGTGAGGATGAATGCTGGGAAAGGAAGAAAATGGGGCGATGCCAGGGAAGACGACAGGGTGGGGGTTGAGAAGGGACCATCAGCAGAGGCTTGAGTGGAGGCTTGAAGGAGGAAAGAAGGCAGAAGATCTGGAGGACAGTGGTCCAGGCAGGGGGAACACCATGTGCAAAGGCCCTGGGGCAGGAATGAGCTTGGGGCGTTAGAGGGAGGTCGAGGTGATTGGTGTGGCCGGAGGGAGACATGAGGGAGATAAGGGCAGGGAAATCAGGAACTGGACCATGTAGGGCTCCTTGTGCTGTGGTGAAGATCTTGGGGTTTACTCTGCCTGAAAGAGTTATGAGAAAGGAGGGGAATGATCTGACTTCAGTTTGGAATAACCCCCTCCAGCCACCATGGAAAAAAGGGGCCAGGAGGGCAGGTGGTGGGGAGACCGGGGAGGAGGCCACTTCCACTGCACCGGTGGGAGGTGAGTGATAATGGAAGCTCTCAGAGCCTCCGTTTCCTAAGCTTTCAGGAATGGGGAAGGGAGAGTGCACACAACAGAAGCACTTAGCAGGGTGCCAGGCTCAAAACCAAGTCCTCAATCAGTCTCAGCTCTTGGGAATCTCTTTTTCTATCATCTCTGATAACAAGTTACCCCTGGTTTCTTCATTTCCCAAATAAGCTTATGGTCTGTAAAATAATGGAAGTCAGGTGTCTAGCAAGAGTCTGTGCATAATAGCTGCTTCGTGAGTGTTGGATGTTTGAATGGACTGATGTATATGGGTGGGTCATGGGAGAAGGGGGAAGGATGGTGGATGGATGAGTGGTGAATGAGGGATGGATGAATGGACAGATGGATAGTTGGTTGGATTGCTGGATGGTGAATGGGAGATGGACGATGGGTGGATGGGTGGGTGAAGGATGAGTGGATGGATGGATGGATGGATGCGTGGGTGGTGAATGGCAAATGAATGGATGGATGGATGGTGGCTGTTTAAATAAGTGACTGGATGGATTAATAGGTCCTGGTTAAATGGACGGATGGCTGTATGGTTGAATAATTGATGCGGATGGGTAGATGGTAAATGGTAATGGACATTTACCTGGAAGGATGGATGAGGGGGTAGATGGATGGATGGATGGATGGGTCCTCACATAGATCTCAGGTCCCCCAAAGCTGGGCCACTCTCCCTCCCTCTCCTACGTGGCCTTCCCCCACCAGCTTCACCCCCTGAACCCGTTTTCTTCCTGCCCCCCCTCCCTCCCAGGTCTGACTGGTTTCTCTATGACTGCCGCCTCCTCAGACATGTGGCCCTTGGCCTTTTCTGCTGTGGGGTCTCTGTCTACTTAGCAGGTGCGTGTCGGGGAATAGAATATGGGGTGTAGAGCCCCGGGCGGGGGTGGCCGGGGGTAACGACCCCATAACTGAAGTCAGCTCTCCAGAGCCAGTCTGCCTGTGTTCAACTCTTGGCTCTGACACTTTCGTGCTCTGGGACCTTGGGCAGATTCCCACTGTGTCCCAGTTTCCTCATCAGTACAGTGGGGATGCATACATCCCTGCCTTCTAGAATTGCTGAGGGGATTCTGGGTTAGTCCCTGTGAAAGCCCATACGTGGCATCTGACCCCAGTGGGGGTTCCATAAGTTGTATTGTCTTCAGAACATTCTTGATTCTTCAGTTTCCTACATTTGGTTTGAACAAAAGTTTTCATGTCCTTGGTGGTTTTCTGGAGATAGTGTTTCACAGGTTGGTCTTAGTAAAAAGCTGTTTGGTTACAAATATCAGAACCTCCAGCTCAAGAATGGCTTAGGTTTTAAAAAAAAAAAATGCTGTATAAACCAGAAATGCAGTGTAAATCCCAAAACATGAAGCAAAACAAAAACTAATAATGTGGGTACCAGAAGGACACAGTGCACAGTCTTCCCTTCCCTGACCTGTAATAACTTTTCTTAGATCAACATTCTCTCACCCACACTTGCCAGTAAAGGAACCAAATCATCAAGTTTCTTTAAAGAGACTCCTGACATTTTATATTTTGTTCTAATCTTGAAAGATGTGTTGATGGTTCTGCAGACTCAGTGCTGAATCATACATAGACCACGGGGACCCTTATAAACAACCCGTTTTCCTGGAAGAAGAAAATATTCCGCTGAATGAAAAAGAAGGGATTTGCTATTACTGTCTTTTTTTAGTATTATTATTCCTACAACAGAAAAATAGAAGTTTAGAAGAGATATTTAAATTATTTATTTGTGAGATGTGAGCCTAGGGTTCATTATGGGAATATAAAGGTATATATGGGTATATAAAGTGCAGGGAACTCTGCATAACTTTTGCTGTTTGACTTAATAAAATGCGCCAGCTGTGAGTTTTTTAAAAAAGAGAGTGGATGAGGTGACTCATGTATCTGTAAAGATCGGGGGTGTTTGGCCTCAGGTGCAGCTGGTTCTAGGTGCTCAACAAGGTAATCGGAAATGCCTCTTGTTTCACCTCTTCACCTGCTATCCTCTGGGAAAGATGCCTGTATCTGTAAGTGCTTTCAACATAATGCCTATAACCTTGAGCCTTTTCCCAGGCTGGCAAAAAAAGTGTTGGAGACTTGGAGAATAAGATATCCTCATTCTAGTATACAAGAAAACTCACAAAGAGAAAAAAAAAAGGTAACTATGTCAGCCTCATTAAGTGTTAAATTAAGAATTTGTTCAGCTCCCATTTAGATTCCTTTTGAGGTTAGGTGACCTCACTCAGCAAGAATTCCCAAGCACATCCAGCCAATCATCCAATCATCCATTCATTGCTAGCCAGAGCCAAAAGAATAATTGAAAAAACCTTTTCAAAAATGTTTAGAGCAAAAAAAAAAAAAAAAAAAAAGTCCTTGGCCTCACTTTAATATGTCAAACATGATGCAGTGTGGCATCTTAAAAGCAAGAGTACAGAGCTGGAGAAAGCATAAAAACAGCCAGCAAAGTGCCAAGAAAGCTTCCATCCCACTCTGGGCTTCTCTTCTACCAATTCTCCCACTGCTCCAGTGAGAAGATTCCTCCCTACCCATAGCCCAGTCTAAAGTCCCAGGGCTGGCTCTGATTGGCTGGGCTTGGGGCATGTGATAACTCTGCACCAATCACTACAACCAGGGGAAGCAATGCTCTGATTAGCCAAGCTAATGGGTCCCAAGCTATTGACGTACCATACACGTCAATGATGCCGGAGAGGTGGGTCCGTGCTCCTACATTAGCGATCAGGGTGAGGGTAGGGACTGGACCCGTGGTTCTCACTGGGAACAGATTCTGCTGATCCAGGGGACATCTGGCAATATCTGGAGACATTTTTGGTTGTCAAGACAGGGAAGGGGGAGAATGCTACTGCATCTAGTGGGTAGAAGCTGCTAAATATCCTACAATGCACAGGACAGTCCTCATCAAAAAGAATGGTGCCAACTGGGCGCTGCACAAGTCAACAGAAAACTAGTACAGATCGGTCCTCAAGGTCAGGTCACCAACCATCTTGTTCAGACCAGCAAACTGAGGCCAGAGAGGGGCTGTGATTCACTGAAAGTTAATCACGGGACTCAGGAAGTCTGAGATCCGGGTTGTTTTAGTTGTGGTCAAGTATGTATAACATAATATTTACCGTTTTATGGTAAAATGCATGTGACGATGGTGTGAGAGGATTAGATAGTTAAGCTGTGTGCCTATCATGTATGGGTTTCTGTGACTGCCCTCTGTTTGGGAGAGCTCTCCCAGGGCTTGGGGAGCAAACGTTTGTTGACTGAGTAAATGAGAGCCATTTCTTTCCCCAGCATTGTCCATCTATGCCCTGCTGCTCTTTGAGATCGAGACAGGTGCAGCAGCCGCCTCCATCCTTGGAGTGGGTGCTCTGGTCCTGGTGGCGGCGCTGACCCACACTCTGCTCCGAGCTGCCCGGGCCACCCGCCGCGGTCTCCATGAACTGTCCCCGCCGCACGTTGAAGACGATCCTGTCCACCCTGCTAGAGTCTCCAAGGCCAGCCCCGGGGCTCCACCCCAGCAGGGTACCCACCGCCGGACCCCCTACTCATCCTTCCCAGAACCTGGGGGCCCCCTTAGACCCACGTTCGCTGCTACAGCACCTGTAGCCATGGGGGGAGGCCGGGAGACCAGCCTGCCTTTATCCTACATGCACCGGACACTGTCAGTTGGCAGGGGGCACTGGGAAGGGGTGACCCACGAGATGCGCAGCATGCTAGGCCACCGGCCAGGGGGCTCAGGGAAGGACTCCACACTGGTGTGAACGCAGGGATCAGGGATAGAGACCTGGTGTCAGGCAGCAGGAAGAGGACTCTGTAAAGATAGCCCAGGCTCAGCCACAGTAGCAGTAGGACTTGATTTCTCAGCATCCCTGGCTTGCGTCCTCAAGGTGGCTTCATGGCACAAAATGGCTGCCAGGGCTCCAGGCTTCACCTCCTCTCTCAGAGGGAAAGGCTGAGGCCAGGGGGTGCTCAGAACTTTCTGGAAATCTTCCTGGGAGGCCTTGGGACTCTCCTGCTCATACCTCACTGGCGAGAACAGAGTCACATGACCACATCTCTGGGCAGGGGAGGCTGGGAAATGTAGCTGTCCAGATGTTAGAGGCAGGAGGGGAGGGTCGGGCTTAAACAGTGGTTCTCTAAATGTCTCCATCCGTTTTACAGATGAGGAAACCGAGGTCCAGAGAGGGGCAGTGACTCACCAGGAGTCCCATGGCCAGTACTGAGCGTCAGAGTCAGGATTCGAACCAGGGTTCTGTAACCCCCATGCTGCTGACAGTACAAGTCTCAGACTCTGCGACTTCTTCCGGGCTGTGAGCATTTGAAATCTGTGTGTGCTGAGCTCAGAGTGGCCCAGGGCCACAGGGGCACCTGGAGGGCTGGACCCAACCTTCTGGCTGTGGGCCCCTGGCTGAGGGCTTTGCTGCTCTGTGTCTCAGTTTCCTCCTCTATAAAATGGGGACATAAGTGGTTCCCCCCTCCTAGGGCTCCATTCCAGGTGCCTGTGCACAGTTGGTCCTCAGTGCATGTCCACCTGTGCTGTCGTCAGTCTGGGCCCCTGGTGGCAGGAAAAGGTGGGTTGATGGCCACCTTCTGGGGCTCACGAAACTGCCAAGGCTTAGAGTGGATAACTCAGAGCCCCAGGGATCTCCAGAGGCCCTAGCCCCACTCCCATCCCACACGACCCTCAAATAAACTCTGACCCTCGCTATCTCCTTTGTCACTTGAGCCACATCCAAACATGCTGTGTGGTCAAGCCCAGGCCCGGGGTAATGGGTGGGATGACAGGAATGGGGTGGGGAGGCAGAGTGGGGGTCAAGGGTATACTTCTTGTAGACCCTAGTCGGGGACCCATGTATATAAATCTTCATGCAAATAAATTTCACCGGGGGTGGGGATGCCTGGCCTCCACCCTCACCCCAAATGGACAGATGTCCCCAGAATTCTCCCAGTGTGTCCCTTCCTGGGCTACACAGGCACTCTGAGGCCCAGGGAGAGGAGACAGCTCAGCCACAAAGTGCCTTAAAGCCCCCCTAGGGCCCTTTCCAATGGACAAAGAGGTGACAGCGCTCAGCTGGGGGGGCTGGTCCCCCAAGCCTGACCCTGGCAGGGACCCTGCTGATCCGATACACGCAAACCTGAGTGGCCAACCGACTCTGACTTCAGCTGCCTCCTCCCAGAGCCGCCGGGAAGCTGTGCAGACCTCCTTGCTGGTGGAGTGGAGGGAAGAGATAACACACATGAACGTCCCACGTGGCGCCTGACACGTCCCACGTGGCACCCAGTAAGCATGGGTTCTTGGGGAACATAAGAAATATCAATGAAAAGGATCAAATAAGAATAAATGTTGGGGCACCTGGCTGGCTCAGTCTGTAGAATGTGCGACTCTTGATCTCGGGGTCGTGAGTTCAAGCCCCATGTTGGGTATAGAACTTACTTTAAAAAACAAATAAATAAATGTCACGTCTTTATCACATGCCTGGTTCTGCAGGCATGTGCCAGGCACTTTCCTGGCCTCAGTTAATCTTCAGGACAACCCCACTTACAGATGGGGAAACTGAGGCCCAGGAAGTGAGGCCACATGGTGGTGATGGCTGGAACCTCGTTACCCCATCACAGAGGGCTCCAGGACAGAGCAAGTTCCTGAGAAACATCGGGAATTGCCGTTTCTGAGAATCCCCTGGAACAGGGCAGGCCCCCAGGACTCCGGGGTGTGGGAGAGGAAAATGAGGAGGAAGGACCACGGCTATCTGCCAGCGAACAGCACCTCATCTCCTGAACTGGGCAGGGGAACCAGAAGCTGGACCCCTCAGCCTCATCCCCAGGGCCAGGACTAGGGTGCAGGTGCAAAATTGGAGACCTGAAAGAATTGAAAACAGGTATTCAAACAAATTCTTCTACAAACACATTCATAGCAGCACTAGTCATAACTCCCAAAAGGTGGAAACAACCCAAATGTCCATCAACAGATAAGCGGATAAAAAATGTGATCAATCCATGCAATGGAATGTTACTCAGCCATGAAAAGGGACCAAGCACTGACCCATGCTACATATGGATGAAGCTCGAAAACATCATGCCGAGTGAAAGAAGTCACACACAAAAGGCCACATAGTGTGTGATTCCACGTATATGAAACATCCAGAACAGGCAGATCCATAGAGATGGAGCAGATTAGTGGGTGTCAGGGGCTGGGGGAGTGGGATGGGGAGTGATTGCTCATGAGGACGGGGTTTCCTTTCTGGGTGATAGAAATGTTCTGGAACTAGACAGGAGTAATGCTTGCACAACATTGTCCGTGTACTAAATGCTACTGAATTGTATGCTTTAAGATGTGAATTCTGTGTTATGTGAATTTCACCTCAATCAAGACAAATTTAAGGAGGCACTTGATCTCAGGCTCCTGCAGGGGCAGGTGGGCCCCTGAACTAAAATGAGCTCCTTAAATGTTGCACCCCTCGAGCTTGCTAGCCTCACTCTTGTGTGACCCCTGCTCATCCTCGTGGGACCCAGAATAGGAGCCCTGAAAACTACGCAAGGTTCCAGCTTGGAGGGCCAGCTGGGAGCGCTGCCCATAGCCCAGTCGAAACCTACCCCCCTTGCCGTCTCTGCCCTGGAAGGGACACCAAGCATCCTCATATCTCAGCCAGAATCAGGTGAGAGGGGATGAGGCTGGTCCTGGGGCTGGAGCCAAATGCTCAGGTTGCTCTGTGTCCTCCAGGAGCTGGGACAGACCTGGCTCAGGGAACAGTCATGTGACCTGCCACTTTAGTTTCCTTTATAAAATAAGGTGGCCTCCTCCCCTCCACCAAACATAGTGATGAGGACCAAATCAGAAAAGATATTGATGTCTCCATTAATTCCACAGGCCATGCAAAAACCAGCAGCTGTCGGCATCCTGGTATGATTAGAGAATGGATGATATCTCTCAAAGATGTTGCCTTGGATTGGGATCATCAGAACCAGACCTTGAGATGATTTGGGGGATGTGGTTTGTTTATGTGGGAGGGTACCTCAGGAAGCCCTAGAGCCCTTCGGAGACACCAAGGAGCAGACAGTACTGTGGGCAATTGAGGCTCCATGCTGCTAGGGACCTCCGGGAGACACCATAAAGCACACACAGCAGAGTGGTCCCCACACTGGGGTGTTTATCCTATGACCTCCATCAGGTATTGGCTGAGAGCTGCTTCTAGAGAGATTAACCCCTCACACTTCTGGTCTTCCCTGTGCACCAGCTGGACACACCCCTGTGGCCAAAGGAGGCCCCAGGCAGGGCTGGAGATATTTGCTGGGAATGACATTCATCATGGAGAGATGAACATGGAGGGGGTGAATGGGAGTGAGGCACAGAGAACATCTGCTCCAGCTGTATAAGCTTTTTTCAACAGCAGGTACAGTGGGGGATACTGAAAGCACTTAACCACACTATTTCCGGTTGAGAAGAACTATGGAGTTTTGGGAGCCCACCATGGGCCAAATACCCTGCCTAACTCACACAAGCATCGCTGTTGTTGTCCCCTTGATACAACCCATCTCTCTTCTTTAGTTCTACGCATACAATCTACTGAAAGTGGCAGAGTGGAGCTGGGGTCCTCTGTGCTGGTGACATTTGGAATGGAAGGCCAGATGCCACCTTGAAGGAAATTGCTCAGCACAACAAGGGGCATATTCCGCCCCCCATACACACCCCAGAAAACACTTCATGAACATACTTTAAAACATATTTCAGATGAAATAAGAATTTTGAAAGGACCTCATGAGCCCTCCATCTCAGGACGGTTCTAGGTACAGTGCAAATTCGACCTTAGGCTCAGAAGAAGACCTGAGATGCAAAACTGAGTTGATTAGGATAAATGGAGCAAGAATCACATAAATACTACCTGAAAATCCAGCACGTTTGCTTTCCCTGACTTCAATATCCTTTGCGTTTGTATCCGTTAGCTCTTGCTGCATAATAAATCATCCCCCAAAGTTAGCCGCTCAAAACAACACCCATTTATTATCTGACAGTTTCTGTGGGTCAGGAATCTGGGCATGGCTCAACTGAGTCCTCCCCTTCAGACCGCAATCTGGGTTCGACGGGGGCGGGATCTCCTTCCAAGCTCACTTCGTCGTTGTTGGCAGGAGTCCATCCATTCCCTACAAGCTGTGGAACTGAGGGTTCCTTTCTGGCTGTTGGTAAGAGGCTGCCCTCAGTTCCGTGACACATGGGCCTCTTTATAGGCCAGTGTGCTTTAGCAAAGCCAGCAAGAGAGGCTGCAACCAGTTGGAAGTCACTGTCTTTTAGAACCTAATCATGGAAGTGACACCCCATCACCCTTGCTGTATTCAGTTGGTTAGAAGTGAGTCACTAGGTCCAGCCCATACCCAAGGGAGGGGATTACAGAGGCCTGAACACCAGACCACGGTCTTTGGGGACCATCTCAGAGGCTACCTCATGTCTCATAAATTCTCTTCAGGCTCTGTTCAAAGACAAGTAAAAAGGGCAGGTGGATAAGCAAGATGAGAAAGGGGTGTTTTCCATACAGCACAAATCAGCTGTTTTCAGTTAGGATCTCTAAGCCGGCAAGAGTGTGCAGAACAGCTAAGGAATTCAAGCTCTGGCAAGACAAATGGCCAAAATTAACACAACTGACAATGCCGAGTGTTGGTGAAGACATGGGGTCATTGGAACTCTCATTCATTGTGGGTGGGAGGGTAAATTGGTACAACAGCCTTGGAAATCTGCTCGACTGCATCTGTGAAAGCCGAACATAGGCCTCGCCTACCACCCACAATCTCCACTCGGGGCATTTACACAACAGGAATGAGTGCGTGTTCCTCCAAAGACATGTACAAGAGTACTCAGGGTGGTTTTGCTCAGTGGCCACGGACAGCAGACATTTAGCAGCGGGGGAACAGGTGAACAGACTGGTATATCCATGCAGTGGACTCAGCAACGAAAAAGAAAGGAATTATTCAGCAATGAAAAAGAAGGAATTATTCATACAGGCAACACCCTAGATAAATGTCACAGACATGATATTGAGCAAAATTAGCCAGACTCAGAAAAGAACTCGTTAGGGCATGACACTTCTATCAAGTTCAAGAGCAGGCAGGATGAATGATGAGGTAGAACCCAGTAGCTTTAGGGGGCTTGAAGGGGGGTGGCAAGGGGATGTTTGAATCTGGCCCAGGTGGGTGCTCTGATCGAGGGGTGGAGAGAGCAGAAGGGGCCACAGCTGGACTCAGCAACATTTGAACACAGGAAGTGTGGATTTTGCACTAGCAGAGGCCACTGGGGGTTGCATCCCCCAGGCACCTGCTTGGACTTTGCACTCCAGAAACCGTTCGGCTGGGAAGGCCTTTCAGGGATGGGAAGTGTTTCTGCAAGTCAGTAGAGCAGTCGAGGGATGCGTGCATTCCCCCTCAGAGCTGCGCTGGGGTAAGGCCCATTGAGATACCCATTGTAAAGATGGAGAAACTGAGGAATGGAGAGGTTAAGCCACTGCTCAAGGTCACCAGCGAGTAAGCGGTGGAGCTGGGACCTCATCTTGCCCTATGACACCTGTCTCGGGTGGGAGCAAGCCAAAGGCAGGAAGGATAAAGCTTTGGCTCCCTCCTGTGTAGCCCAAGATGGCGTAAGCTCAGCCATGGCAGTCAGGATTGATGTGGCCCAAGTCGGGCGTGGGTGGGTGGGCTCCGAGGTGAGCCCGCACTTCCCCAGGCTGTCCTCGGGCCCCGTGGAGCTCAGAGGGTTGGGATTTTGCCGGGTCATTGGCCTAGCAATACCAGCAAGTCCAGTCAGATCCGGGGCCGGGACGGCTCCTCTGGGGGCCCCTGGTCACCCAAAGGATGCCCTGGAAAGCGATCCAGAGCTGGTTTCAGGGTGGCCAAGAGGGTGACCAGGGGGAACAAACAGCCTTTGCTTCCCGGCCAGATCAGATTCCACGGCCGGCGCCAGAGCAGCCTGGGCGGGACCGGCGGGTAGCAGCTGTGCCCAGAGAGGGGAGAGGTGGGGAGATGTCTCAGCACCAAAGGCCTACTTTTCCCAAGGCAGCTGCGCTATACGGGGGAGAGGGCACATTTTGCGCAGCCTCGCCTGGTCCCCCCTCTCCAGGACGGCTTGCTCTCTCTCCTCTCAGACTCCCAGGACAGAGCCATTCTGCTTTCCTCTGACCCCAGAGCAGGACAGGATCTGCCCCCTGAGACCCCCAGGACAGTGCCGTTAGATACAAGTCCCCGGGTGGGCCATACGCCCCTTCCGGGGGCCCAGTGGGGCACGTTCTGGCCAGTGATCTGTGAGCAGAGCTCCAGCGAGGCACTTACAGGCCAGGGTATTTCACTGACAGGGCAAGAGCTTCCTGAGCCTGTCCCCAGTCCTGCGGCAAGACGGTGGCAGCACCTTCGGGCAGGTCTCAGAGACCGTGACCAGCAGAGTCTGTTGCTGCCCAGCCGTGGGCACGTGGTACGAATGAGAAAGAAGCCTTAGTCTTTCTAAGCCACAGAAATCCGGGGACGTTCCTGACTGCAGCAGAACCTGGGCCACCTGACACTACGGGGACCTAGGGTGGACAGAGCAGAAAAGGAAGAAGCGCGGGCGTGGGAGAAAAACGGTGTGAGTCTGGGGTCGTTAATTTACAAACCGGTCCACCCCATTATGCTTAGATCCCGTATTTGTGAGTCCCACGCTAAGAGTTGCCACCCCCAAACCAGTATTTGCAGCACTTTGTGGTCATTCAGGGACATGCACAGAGCAGGGGGAAATGTGAATCACCGAGGCACATGGTTCCTGTTGAGGTGGGATGCGGTGACGCTCCGCCAACTTGCTTTAGCTTGGACTGTGAAGAGGTGGCCTTTTTATGGTCTATCTAGTGGCACATATTTCACATTTTTGTGCTTTTTTGTTGGCAATTTTGCTATTTAAAAAGGTCTGCAGGGGTGCCTGGGTGGCTCAGTCAGTTAAGTGTCTGCCTTCGGCTCAGGTCATGGTCCCAGGGGCCTGGGATCGAGCCCTGCATCAGGCTCCCTGCTCAGCGGGAAGCCTGCTTCTCCCTCTCCCTCTGCCCCTCTCCCCACTGGTGCTGTCTCTCTCACTGGCTCTCTCTCTCTCTCTCAAGTAAATGAAAAAAAAAAAAAGGTCTCCAAGCATAGTGCTTAGTGTTGCCTCTCCCCGAATGCAAGAAGGCTGGAATGTGCCCCTGGAGAAAATGTGTGTTAGATGAGCTTTGTTCAGGCATGAGTTATAGCTCAGATGGTCAGGAGTTCAATGTTAACCAATCAGCAGTATGTATTAAACAAAAACACACACAAAACAAGGTCACGGATTGATTGCTTGAGAAAAATGTGACCAAAGGCTTGCAGGAACCTACTTCTGTATTTGCTGCAGAATCCAGTATTCCCTGACTCAGTTTTCACTGCAACATTATAGAACGTAAGGACAGTGAATAATGAGAATTGACTGAATGTATCCATCACAGAGCAGAGCAAAAAGACACATAGAACAGCTTGAAGGTGAAGAGAGCAGGCTCTGGATTCAAATCTCAGCTGTGGGAGTGCCTGGGTGGCTCCGGTGGTTAAGCTTCTTTTGCCTTCGGCTCAGGTCATGATCTCAGGGTCCTGGGATCAAGCCCCACATCCAGCTCCGTACTCAGAGGGAAGTGTGCTTGTCCCTCTGCCCCTCCCCCTGCTCATGCTCGCGCTCTCTCTCCCAAATAAATACAATCTGTAAAAAAAGAACATCTCAGCTGTGACCTTAGCTGCCCCTGCCTCAGTTTCCCTATCTGTAAGATGCGCAAAACCAGGGCTTCATAGCGGGGTGTGGGAACACCAAACGAGATACTGTGCATCAGGTGTTGGGGATTTGATCCCCTCCCCAGGATCTAAACGTAACTGAAACTATTATTCCTGCTACGAGCAGTGATGGAGGGGCAGACCCAGTCTTCTCTGTGATCTACAAGCCCACTCAGTCACACACTGAGCCTGTCTCCCCCTCTGCGGAATATTCTGGGAGGGGCAGCAGTGCTGCCTCCCTCCCCGATTTTGCTTACTGGGTGGGCATCTGCCCCCAACTCGTGCTGGGTGTGCGTGGCAAAGACCTTGAGCCACAGAGGACCTGCAGCCAGGATCGGGACTCCAGACAGTGGGCACAGGGTGGTGTTTATTGCCAGGAGGACGCCCGCGTGGCCTCCAGGCACCAGAGAGTTTTGACACAAATGACTTGAAGGCACTGGTTTCCATCCAGCCCCCACCCCTGCCCTGCAGGGCCCCGGGGGTGAGAGACCCCATCACCAAGCAGACCGGTTGGTCCTGCTCCTTCTCCAGGGCTGTGGCTCTGTTGGGTGGCTGAGGCTCTAGAACACCCTGCGCCGCCAAGGTTCCCAAGATGCTGCAGGGCGGGGTGGCTGCCAGTCCTGGGGTGGTGGGGGTGTCAGGCAGGGGGCTCTTCCCTGGGGCTGACCGAGAGCTACGAGACGCTGGGGGGTAGGCGTGCAGCTGCTGTCTTCTCCACCACGAAGCCGTAGTTATACTGGGGGGGCAGTGTTGGGGGCAAGGAGAACACAGAGTGAGTGAGGGGCCACAGCGGTGCCTGAGGAAGGGTGAGCGGGTGAAGACAATTAGGGACTTAGCGAGCTCCAGCCCTTGGGAGATGGGATGTGGCTGGGGGAGACTGGGGTAGCAGGAAGGTGGGGGTCCCCCAGCACCCCATCCTGGGCCCCGCACCCACCTCCTCCTCAATATCTGCCAGCGACTTGATGGTCAGATCGGCAAAGGCAGAGAAGGCCTGGTGGGCAGAGGCAGGTTAGTCTTGGGTGGGGACCCTAACCTGGAACTCCATTCCCTCATCCTCAAGGAGGGCCTCCCCCAATATTTGCCTGAACATCCCTTCATCCTTCCTGCCACAGCCTCCTGCCACCAGCATCTAGTTGTTCCTCCTGATTCCCCATTCTGTGACTAAGACCCTCCAGCTTCCGGCCTCCTCCAACCCAGGAACATGGGCCTCTGTGCTGGGGCACTGGGGTACATGGATGACCCTCTGCATCCTGACCCCTAGGAAGGCAACTGGCAGGGAAAGACCCAGGCTCCCCCAGCAGAGACTCACCAGGGGGCCACAGCTCTTGCCCTCGAACCGGGGGTGCAGTGTGAAGGGAACACCATCCATGGCTAAGGAAAGCAAGTAAGGGTAGGGGCTGAGACACAGGGAGCTTGCAGCCTACCTGCGGTCCACCCCAACCAGAGAGGCCCAGCCCCAAACCCCAGGCTCTCCCCAGTCTTTGCAAATATTGGGGAGGCCCAGGCCTGGTTCCAACCCTGGCCCCACCCCTTCCTGCCTATCCCACCTTGAGCCAGTCTTGCCCCACCCCAGTGCCTCAGTTTCTTGCTCGGCACTCACCTGAGATGCCGTAGAGGTTGGAAGCCTCATAGATGGAGTCACTTCTCCGCAGAGTAGACGCCCGAGAGCCTAACCTGGACAGGGTCCGCTCTGGAAAGCCACCCTTGCTGGTGGAGGCAGGACAGTGCAGGTCAGGCTTAATTCCCCCCACGGCTGCCCCATTCCCAAGCCTGAGCACTCACCTGGGCTGGGCATGCGGGTCCAGGGAGAGGCCCCGCATGTCCTGGCTGAGAGCTCGGGGCTTGGGCACCGGCCTTGGGGCCTTGGCCTTCTTGCACCAAATGGCAAAGCCCCCCATGTCCCTAGAAGGAAAGAGAAGTAGGGAGGGGTCCTGGCCCAAGAGGATGACCCCAGCCCTTTGGGGGATTTGCCTTCTATCTTAGCCCTCGCCGTGAGCAACATCCGAATTAATAGTGCTGGGTCTGATCACAGAACTGTGTGCTTCAGACTCATCAACTCACTCCTCACAAGAACCTTATAAGACTGATACAATTAGCCCTGTTTTTAACCTGTGGAAACTGAGGCACAGGGAAGTGACAGAAGGCACTCAGGACAGTCCCTGAGGGTCAGCAGGGCAGATATGGGAGCTGGAGGGCAAAGGAGGCCAGAGGCTGGGGGTGGCCCTACCCTACTCGCAGGTATCCAGGCACCGTCTTGGTTTTCCCACTCAGCCGGACATCGAACACGGCCGTGTCTGCAGCCCCCAGGGGCATCAGCTTCACACACATGCGTTTCTTCTTGGACACAGAGGCCTCTGGGAGTGGGGGGGGGGGGGGCGGTGCAAGGGAGTGAGAAGAGGGAAGAAGCAGCGAAAGGGGCCCAAAGATGGCTCCAGGAGGATGCTCGCCAGGGCGCTGTTTAAGGCAGCTCCCTGGACAGCTTTAGGTCAACGGTTAAATCAAGAATGGTAGAGCCAGAGGAGGGGACTCCATGTAGCTTTTAAGCCGCTGGGGCAGGCTTATCTTTGGTGACATGGAGAGGCATTCATGGGGTGACCCTGGGCACCTACAGCAAGGGTGGGCATCTGTGGAATCAGACAGAACTGAATGCCCATCCTGGCCCCGCAAACCTCACTTTTCCTTAGTCCTCTAATCCAGAGATCAGCAAACTCTGGCCCATAGCCAAAGGATGTCCAAAATCTGCTTTTGCAGGGCTTATGAGCTAAGAATGGTTTTCATGTTTTTAAAGGATTGGTGAGGGAGGAGCGGGGGGCAATGACACTATCTGGCCCGCAAAGCCTAAACTATTTACTATCTGGACCTGTGCAGAAAAAGTTTGCCAACTCCAATATCAAGAGATACACCCTGAGAGTCAAATACACATGACAAGTCACAGTGAGAGGCAGGGGGAGCCAGGTGGTTGGAAAGCCAGGCGGTCAGGGCTGGGAGGGCAGCACCAGGGCTACAGGAGCCGGAAGAGAGGGCTGGGGGGAGCTAAGCAGAGACCTGAAGGAAAACCAAGTATTAGCTAGCGGGAAGAGTCGCGGAAGGGCGCTCCAGGCAGAGGAAACAGTGTGTGCAAAAGCCTGGAAAGGAAAAAGCTTGGAAATGGCCCGTGGTTCGGCTTGGCTACGGTGTAAGATGTAGCAGGAACAGTAATAAAACAGGTCACAACCCTTACTCTAGGTCAGAGGCTGTGCCAATGGCACATTTTTACGCGGGGCAGGGCATGCGGGCCCGCCCCAGAACAGGGCTCGACTCCACAGCCAACCCGGTCATCACCCAGTGCATCGAGTGGGCGGTCGAGGCTCCGAAAACAAGCACCTGTCGTCCCTCCACCCGTCCCTGGTCCTACCCACAGGGACCCCAACGCGGCCCCCTACCCCACCCCCAACCTCCGACGCGGGCCTCACTGGAGTCCAGGGGGTCGCAGACGGGGGAAAAGCCCGGTGGGAGGGGGCTCTTGTCAACCAGGACCTGGATATCGGCCACCACATTCTCCTGCGGATTCTGAGGGGGAGGAAGGGGAGGACACAGCGACAGTCACGCTGCAGCGGGGACAGCGCGCCTGGCGTAGGGCCCCGCAAAAGGACGGGGAGTGGGCGGAGCCCGGGGATGCCGAAGGAGTGCGCCCCTTACCTCTAGGCTGCCCAAAGAACTGAGGCACAAAAAGTAGCCAGACTTCTGCGCGAAGCTCTTGCCGAAGTTGGCGGGCGCCCCTTCCACGGTGCAGGAGATCTAGGGCGTGGACCGGAGTCAGGACCGGGCTCCTTCCCCGACGCGGCCGCCTCTGCCCCCACTAATCCCCGGGCCCCCGACGTCGCTCACCGCACTGAATCCCCGCGGCGGAGGCGCCGAGGCCGACGACCAGGCCAGGCCAGTCAGCGGCGCCGTGTCGGTCCCGGGTCCTGGATCCATCCTCCCAGCCAAGAGCCGAAGGCGGAGACGGCTTCGGAACTCCGAGCCGCCGACCCGCGGCTGAATTAGGGTGGGAGTCTGAACTACAAATCCCAGACACCATAGGGAAGGCGCGGGGAGGGAGGGGGTCAAAAGAGCCGTCTGCGCGTGCCCGGAAGACAGCTGGCCAATCGTGTGGGAAAGGGAAGCCACGCCCCCGTACGTCGCGCAGGCACGCCCGTGAGCGACGTTTGCGGAAAATTGGGTCGCTACCTTCTCACCGCCGGCTATTTCCGATATCCCAGCTCTGCGCCAGAAGTCTGGGCTTGCCCTAAACCAGAACTACGCTCCCCAGAATCCCTTGCGGCATCAGCCTCTCCAGAGACACGCATGGACTTCTAGGGGAGAAATGTGAAAAAGCACAATTCTAGGGCGCCTGGGTGGCTCAGTCGGTTAAGCAACTGCCTTCGGCTCAGGTCATGATCCTGGAGTCCCGGGATCGAGTCCCGCATCGGGCTCCCTGCTCAGCGGGGGGTCTGCTTCTCCCTCTGACCCTTCCCCTCTCATGCTCTCATTCTCTCGCAAAAAAAAAAAAAAAAGCACAATTCTAGTTCTAGGAAGTCATCCTAAACTGAAACTTTCATGGGTTATGCAGGGATTCGTTTAAATAACAAAAAATACGGGCCGCCATGAGCCATGAAATCTTGTGTAACTTGAGGACTTGTTCGTGTTACTGGTGGGAGACTCTGCGTTGTGTGAATGGAGTCTCGGTTCTTGGATTCCCCACGGAAGATTTACCCGAGGATCCGCGCTTGAGTAAAGACAGGCAGAAGGAAGGTGGCAAGCGCAAAGCAGTTCATGAAGAACCGCACACTCTGGAGGTGGGAGAGCGGGCAGGCCCAGAAATGGCAACTGACCTGAGGCTATAGGGGTGTCTTTTCCTATTATGTTTATGAGCATAGCTACGGGGGTCTGCTACTGAGGTTTCCGGTCATCTAAGGGACTCCTCCTACCGGTTGGGAGGGGGAGTTTTGGGCTCTCCCGCGTCTTGCCGGAAGTGTCGTGGCCATCTTCCCCCGCAGGGGGGCGTGAGGTGGGGGTAGAAACCACGGTGTAAATATACTATAATGAACCTAGGCAGTCACCCTGGGGTACAGACTGGAGAGGCGACCACAGGTTCTGCACCTGTGCTTCTTGGTCGACTAGCCCGCTGCCACAAAGCCACAAAGAGAGCCCCCAGGCTTCTAATGTGTGACCTATTTATCGCCGCCCTTGCCTCCAGCTCGGGTCTAACTAACTGCCTGCTCCATGATTCCCAGACACAATTAGTTTTTTTCAATGAGATATAAAACACTTAATACGGATGCTTTTACACCCCTCAGGGGAAAATACGGAAAATTAGGGAACAGAGTATTATCTCCTCTTCTATATTTCTCCATTTTCTGCAATATCATGGGTTGGCCCACTTCTAGCTCTTATACGACCCGCGAGCTAAAAATGGTTTTTATATATGTAAATGATTGAAGGGGGGAAAAATCAAAAGAGTACTTAGTGACATGTGAAAAATATATGACATTCAAATGTCAATGCCCATAAGAAACAAATATCCTGGGATGCCTGGGTGGCTCAGTCGGTTTAGCATCTGCCTTCTGCTTGGGTCATGATCCCAGGGTCCTGGGATCAAGTCCCACATTGGACTCCTTGCTCAGCAGGGAGCCTGCTTCTCTCTCTACCTGCTGCTCCGCCCTGCTTGTGCTCTCTCTCTCTCTCTCTGACAAATAAATAAATAAAATCGGAAAAAAAGAAACAAATGTCCTGGAAAAGGTGACCCAATAATGAGAAGGGGTTTCAATTAGCATGGAGGGGTGGCTTGCTTGGTGGCTGTCTGGCTGCCTTGGAGGCAGATACCCCAGCAGCAATCTAAGCACATGCGAGATAAAACACAGACTGAGATAATGACTCCCAAAATAAGTAACCATTTTTTCCACCAGGACACTCCCATGATCCAAACCATCCATTTATTAAGTCCCTAAGCTGGGGGTGGGATCACTCAGGGCATTCACATGCGTCCTCATGTGCTGTAATAAAGATGATACATTAGCAGACTCATCAGATACGAACACACAACGTTCTGCTTGGATAATGGCATAGGTGGACTCCTTGCAAGACAGTCATGTCCAAGTCCGTCCTAATTTGGCAGACAGCTTTTCTCATTAGGGACATTTCAGGGTTTAGTAGGACAGGCTTTTTTGGCTATCATTTAAGGCTTTACTGGGTGAACTTAGTAAGGGCGTCTATGTGAGCTATAACTTCCTCCAGGCCAATGGACGGAACAAACATGGCGACCAAGTGATCATACCAGTGGAAAACAACGTGCCCATCTGCGCTTGAGGAGGGGGAGATTGGCAACTTTTGTTACTGTGGAGCAGATTTCTGGGAGACCCCAGGGTGTAGCGGCCCAACCACCCAGGTGGAAACCAAGCCAAAGATTTGAGCCACACAATCATCGGGTCCCATTTGGATTTATGTTACAGTGATGTCCATCCCATATCCCTGGTGTACTTGGGTTGGTTCTGTTTAGAGTGTTGTTGTTGGTTTTTTTTTTCTGTTCCCCACATTGAGGTACATGAGTGCTCACCTGTCCATAAGCCGGGGTAAGCCACATGAACCCATCCCAAATCTGAGTGATGCCACCTAAGGCTCTGAGAGTGATATTTTTAGGACCCTTCGGATGGGCTGCCTGTTTCATTCAGTCAACAGAAAGAATACCCAATGCCCAATGTTATTGAGAGATGTGCCACAGGCCAGATTTCTGGCTCAGTATTGGTAATATCAGCTGAATTAACAGCACCTGTCCTAGCTTATGCTTTCTTTTTTTTTTAATTTTTTTTAATTTTTTTTTTTTATTTATTTATTCATGAGAGACAGAGAGAGAGAGAGAGAGAGGCAGAGGGAGAAGCAGGCTCCCAAGGAGCAGGGAGCCCGATGCGGGACTCGATCCCAGGACCCTGAGATCATGACCTGAGCCGAAGGCAGACGCTTAACCATCTGAGCCACCCAGGCGCCCTAGCTTATGCTTTCTTAATGTACTGCTTGAGTGCCTTCTGCTCCCCTCCCTGGAGGAGTTGTATCCACCACAGCAGTCCTGACAAGCTAAAGAGGGGTGGCTGCCCGCATACCCACTAGTGTGGATTAATTCCTTTGCCAGGCACACAAGTGGGCCCCCTGTAGAAAGGTATTTCCCTCAGGTGCCCATCCCGTGACCAGACACCCCAGGGGCAGCAGAAGTCTAAGGCCAAAAAGACAGATATGTAATAGAAACTTGTATGGGGAAGTCTTGTTAATGCTGCTACAGCTTTAGGAACCTGGCCAGGTTGTGCATATCGGACCGGACCTGGTGGCCGGGGAGGCAGCGCTGTCAGGCGTGAGGAAATGGGACTAGGGGCAGGACGTGCTCAGGACCCCTGTCTTCTCCCCTCTTTCTGGTGCGTGTTCCATTCCAGGTATAGTGGGTTTCCACAGATCTGGCTTAACAGCAGAACTACAGGATCCTGGTGGAGATCAAGTAGATACCCCTCACTCAGGGGGTGAAGTAACTCACCCATCGCGGTGGGACATCCCATTGTAAATTCCAGGAGATAATGCCTCTCCCAGGCGGGATGGGGCTTGGTGTCCTCAGCAGCCCAGCGCGTTGATCCACCGTGAGAGTCAGGGCAGTTGTTATCTCTGGAGACTCTAATACCTTTTTGGAATTGGGTGCTTCGGCAGGGGTCCCCAGACTGGCAGATGGGGTGGTTGGTTGGTCATTCAAATGCATTAAGCCTGCAACAGTCCCTTCGTCCACCTGGCCAAAGTGGCTTTACCTGTTAGTGATTTAACCTGCTGCTTTAATAGTCCATTCTTCCTTTATCCCAACCCTGCTGCTTGTGGTTTGCGGGAGGATGGAGCCTCCATTCACTGTTCTTCTGCCCAGTCTTGCACATCATGACCCTTAAAATGTGACCGCAATCACTGTCTATTTGATGAGGATTTCCATACATCATACTCAGTTTCTCTAATCCCCTATTGCCTGCTTTGCACGGTGACAGGGGAAAGCTTGGGTTAGGCCCGATGCAAAGACCTTGCAAACCAAACCATAGTTCAAACCCTCACTCAGGGCGCCTGGGTGGCTCAATCGGTTAAGCATCTGCCTTCAGCTCAGGTCATGATCCCAGGGTCCTGGGATGGAGTCCCACATCGGGCTCTGCTCAGTGGGGAGCCTGCTTCTCCCTCTCCCTCTGCCACTCCCCCTGCTTGAGCTTACTCTCTCTCTCTCAAATAAATAAAATCTTTAAAAAAAAAAAAAAAAAAAAGAACCCTCACTCAGGGGCGCCTGGCTGGCTCAGTCGGTAGAGCATGTAACTCTTGATCTCAGGGTCTTGATTTCAAGCCCCACGCTGGGTGTGGAGATTACTTAATAAATAAACTTAAAGAAACAAAACAAAACCCTCCCTCAGAGGGAAAGAGCCAATGTAATCAACTTGCCAATGCCTTACTGGTTGGGAACTCCAGTGGATGGCCCAGGACGACTCCTTTGGCAGTTGTCTTAGGCATTGTTCTAGAACATAGAGGACGTGATATTCCATTAACCAAGTCACTGGATTTCAAGGGCAATCTGGTGTCCTTGGCAACACACCATCCTGCCCAGGTGTCACAGTGGCCACTCTTCCTATGCACCCAATCTGTGGTATCTACTGAAAGGTTGGTGGCCAGGGACCCTACCTGGGCTGGGGCATCAGCTCTCTGAATGCCGGTGAGGGGGTGGGGGTGTTCAGCGCCTGGATGTGGAAGAGAGTGAGGTTTCCTCGTCTCCTGCAGGTGAACCCAGATGTCTTTCACATACCCTAACCCCACAAAGGCTTTTTCATGATCATCCACCTCTCAGCTTTCCCTTGTCCAAGCCATAGGGTTCATCCTTTTATTTATTTTTATTTATTTATTTTTAAAGATTTTATTTATTTATTTGAGAGAGAGAGAATGAGAGAGAGCACATGAGAGGGGAGAGGGTCAGAGGGAGAAGCAGGCTCCTTGCTGAGCAGGGAGCCCGATGTGGGACTTGATCCCGGGACTCCAGGATCATGACCTGAGCCGAAAGCAGTCGCTTAACCAACAACTGAGCCACCCAGGCGCCCGGATTCATCCTTTTAAAACAGCCCAACTATCAGGGCTAAGGGTTAACAGAGCTTCTGAGGATCAGTCACCAGCCAGATCACCAGCCAAACCAGCTCTGAGCTGAACCCGCTGGTTGCTGTGGTTTGTTCCTGTTTCCATTCAGATGGTGTCAGTGTGGAGCTGACCAATGACGGTAACTCACGTGGGTAGGCTACCCCGACTAGAACATTCTGTACACCAGCCATCAGCGGAAATGTGCCCCTCGCTCCCTACAGGCCACAGGGGCCACCACAGGAATAGGGGCGGGGACATCTGGAGGATCTAGATCCTCTACAGGGCCTAGCAGCAGCTTCTTTCTAGGTGCCACGGGTTGGTAGATAAGGTGCTCTGGTGCTGCAAATAGGCATGCCTTAGTCAAAGTGGGAGTTTGAACCAAGGCGGAGGTGAGTCAATGGGACATGTTCTCAACCCACCCCTTGCTAGGCAGAGAAGCTCTTACCGTGATATGCTCTCCCTTCGTGAGAGGCTCAACCTGAATGGCGGTGCCTGGGTCTTGAGCTTCCTGCAGGTTCACCACACATCCTCCGACTCACAGATGTTCCAGCAAAGTCTGCAGAGTGTCCCATAGCAGAGGCAGGTCTTTACATGTCAGCATCATATCAGTGTAATGGGCCCATTTTATGGATGTGGGGAAGGAGAACAGGGACAAGTCTTGGGCTACCATCCCATGACATACGGTGGGATTGGCAGGTAGCCTTGAAGGTGTTGAAAGGTCCATTGTTGTCCCTCCCACATGAAGGCAAATTGAGCTTGTGTCTAGTGGCCAGGGGTATACCGGAAAAGGCATTTGCTAAGTCCCGCTTGGCAAGATACGCTCATAGGACCGTGGCCAAGGTATCCAAGATGGTGGCAGTGTTGGGCACAGCCACATGGATGGGGGACCACACCTTGTTCAATTCTCAGTCACCCACCATGAGCCATCTGTTTTTTCTACTGGCCATATTGGGCTGTCGAAAGCACTGGGGGCAAGGTGCAGTTCTTTTTTTTTTTTTTAAGATTTTATTTATTTATTTGACAGAGAGAGTGAGAGAGCACGAGCAAGGGTGAGGGGGCAGAGGGAGAGAGAAGCAGACTCCCCGCTGAGCAGGGAACCTGACGTGGGGCTTGATCCCAGGACCCTGGGATCATGACCTGAGCCGAAGGCAGACACTTAACCGACTGAGCCACCTAGGCGCCCCCAAGGTGCAGTTCTTGAATAGTCTCTCCTATTTTTTTATGCCCCTTGGGCAATTATAGCATTTGACAGTACCACTCTTTCGTGGCGATGGCTGGCTTCCAGAATTCAGTTAGAGGTTTGCAGACTTTGACCTTGTAGGATGTCAGTGCCCAGCGTGCTCTCTGGTACTGGAGAAAGAAAAACCTCAGATTCTCCATATTCTCAGGGCGCCTGGGTGGCTCAGTTGGTTAAGCATCTGCCTTCAGCTCAGATCATGATCCCAGGGTCCTGGGATGGAGCCCCACGTCGGGCTCCCTGCTCAGCGGGGAGCCTGCTTCTCTCCCTCCCTGCTCCTGCTCTCTCTCGCTATCTCTGTCTCTCTCTCTCCAATAAATAAATAAAATCTTAAAAAAAAAAAAAAAAGAATTTGCTGTACCTTTTCTATAGATTTCCAGGGCCCCATGCCCAGGGAGGTCCCCCTCATTGAGCCAAGCCTCCCTGCAGGCTAGAAGAATCTAATCTATGAGGGAGTGAGTGCTTTTTTCTTTTTTTAAGATTTTTTATTTATTCCTTTGAGAGAGAGAGAGAGAACACAAGCAGGGGGAGCAGCAGAGGGAGAGGGGGAAGCAGGTTTCCACTGAGCAGGGAGCCCGATGCAGGACTCAGTCCCAGGACCCGAGATCATGACCCAAGCTGAAGGCAGATGCTTAACCTACTGAGCCACCCAGGCGCCCCAGGAAGTGAGTCCCTTGAGCTCCCTGAGCACCACGCAGGGGCCATCAGAGGGCGGGGTGTGTAGTGGTGCTGCTCCTTTTCTCAGCCTCCTGCCCAATAAGAGAAACTCCATCGGCCCCTGGATCCCATCGGTGCACCACCCACGCCTGGATACTTTCCCTGGCCTTTGGCTGGGATTTGGCAGCCATTTCGATAAGCTCAGCGGGAGTATATTTTCTTATCTTGCACATTTCCTGAACTGGGAGCTGCCCCACTGGCTGGGACTGCTTTGCCTTCATTGGTAGCAGGGGTCCACTACCCACCCAGCCGTCTGCAGCCTCCTAGCTTTGCAAAACAGCATGCTAAAGTCTCCAACGTAAGGCCTCTATGCGCATTAGCCCAGCCTGTGTGTTCGGGACGTCCCAGACTCACACAGCAGTCCACAGGCATCTGACCTCCAAGTAAGTCACCCCTCCCCACATACAGGTCGATGGCCAACTTGGCATTTTCCCTGGAGGTGCCTCTTCCCCAAGGCCCATTCCTCTGGTCTCCTGGCTGTCTGCCCATGGTTGGCTCCCAACCTCGGGAGCTCCCCAGGTGAGATCTGAAATTAGCCCCATACACGGAGGGCAGGGAGAGACCGAAGAACAAGGCAGACTGCTTCAGATCAGGTAGGTGGCAGGTTTAATAAGGACGGGAATTTAACTCATGAGGCCTGTCTTGGGTGGCAGCAAGATGGGGAGATCTCTTCACCCGCCCACCAGAATCTTAACAGTTTCTGCAGAGACCTCAGCAGGGTTCACCCACATATACAGTCCAGATGGTCTCAACAACACCTGGCCCTCTCTAAGGTTGTGTCCTTGAAGTGGCTCCTAGTGTGGGAAAAATTAGCAGAAGGTGCATTCCAGGGACAGGGGAGGGGGTGAGCAGCCTCCAAGCACCTGGATCCAGCTCATTGGTCAACCAACCCGCACATCTGCTGGATGACCTTCTCCAACAAGAAACATGCTTTGAATGCCAACACGCAGCCCTGGGGCCGGGCGAGAGGCCGGGACCAAGAAGCCGGCGCTGACTGAACCGTGGACCCAGGGAAATGGCCACATTGGGTGGAGGTCTCCCCGAGCCGGCCTGTCCTACCAGGTGCTGCTGGGACGGGGGCGGGAAGGAGCTGGAAGGAAACAGCATGTCTGACATGTGGAGAGCTGAGCGTCCACTCCCTGCAGGGGCAGGAACAGACTAAATTCTGAATTGCTCTTTAGGGAAAGTGAGAGCCAGGGAGCCATGTGTCCCCGGGGACCCAGTAACCCCACTCCTGGGAATTCAGTCTAAGGAAAGACCACACCAGATCCACAACTTCTCAAAGGATGACACGGACGGACGAACTGAGAGGGCAGTGGGGAGGAGCCAAGCGCTGAGCTAAGTGCCTGTCATGTCCTCGGAGCAGCTGGGGACAGCCGCGGTCACAGCCATCCTATAAGCCAGCAGGCTCGGCAAGTGCAGGAGCCCCGGGGCCGAGCGGGGCTGAGCCCAGCTGACCCCAAACCTGCACCAGGACCAGGCCAGGACTTCTCCCCGGGGTTGTTCTCAGTTGCGGGGCCGTCATGGGCGCTGTGGGGTGCTGAGCAGCACCCCTGGCCTTCACCCACCAGATGCCAGCAGCACCCTTCCACTCAACCGTAACATGAAGTTCATGACAATTGAAACTGTCTCCAGGGGCACCTGGGTGGCACAGTCGGTTAAATGTTTGTCTCTTGGTTTCCGCTCAGGTCGTGATCTCAGGGTCTTAAGATCAAGCCCCACGTAGGGCTCCATGCTGAGCACGGAGTCTACTTGAGATTCTCTCTCCCTCTCCCCCTCCCGTTCATGCTCTCTCTCAAATAAATAAATCTTTAAAAGGAAGGGAAGTGAGGGGAAGGGAAGAAGGAAGGAAGGCAGGAAGAAGGAAGGAAGGGAGGGAGAAAGGAAGGAGTCTCTAGATATCCCCTGGGGACAGAATCGCCCCTGAGTGAGAACCCTTGGGCCACCGCCTTCCTACAAGCCTAGAGATGACCTCTGTCACCCACCCAGAGTCATGCACAACTGAAAACATCTCAAGAGTAAGGCATTACACAACAAGGTAAGGCGTTTGGTCAACACAATGAAATATATGTGTAGTTTAATGAACAGTAAGAGATAAAAGAGCTGAGTGGAAGGAGCAGGATTGTGGATGACCTTTTTGCCCTTTACGAAGTTTGTTTCTTTGGTGTCCCTACATTATCCTCTCAAGATGAACCACAAAAAGAAAAAGCCCTGCGTGTGTGCTCTTCCATCCTGCCCCAGATGTGGGCTTAGATGTGGCTGTGCCCGCTGACTTCCTTCCACAGGGCACAGCACTCACCGGGGGGTGGGAAGAGAGTAACTTCGCGGTGGAGACACCCGACGAGGCCACCTCAGCCAGGTGATCCAGGTCAACATCACCGTGAAAAGTCACGCTGATGGGGCGCCTGGGTGGCTCAGTCGTTAAGCGTCTGCCTTTGGCTCAGGTCATGATCCCGGGGTCCTGGGATCAAGCCCCGCATCGGGCTCCCTGCTCCGCGGAAAGCCTGCTTCTCCCTCTCCCACTCCCCCTGCTTGTGTTCCCTCTCTCGCTGTGTCTCTCTCTGTCCAATAAATAAATAAAATCTTAAAAAAAAAAAAAAAAAAGCCACGCTGATGGCATGTGCCCTGGACATAGTGTGACAAGCAGGGCACTTCACCTCTGTGGTCCTTCCCCAAAACCTGTCACCCCCAGGCCAACCTTGAAAAAACACCAGACAAATCACAACTGGGCCATTTCCCACAACACACCTGACCGATTCTCCTCAACACTGCTGAGGTCATCAAAAACAAGGAAGTCTGAAACTATCTCAGCCCAGAAGGACCTAAGGAGATGTGACAACTAAATGTAACATGGGGTCATTAAAAGGACATAAAAAAGACATTAAGAAAAACCGACAGGGGCGCCCGGGTGGCTCAGTCAGTTAGGCGTCCGCTCTGGATTTTGGCTCAGGTCATGATCTCAGGGTTGTGAGATTGAACCCCAAGTCGGGCTCCACACTCAGCTAGGAGTCTGCTTGAGATTCTCTCTCCCTCTCCCTCTGCCCCAGGATTGTGGATGACCTTTTTGCCCTTTACGAAGTTTGTTTCTTTGGTGTCCCTACATTATCCTCCGCATGTGCTCTCTCTCTCTCTCTCTCTCAAATAAATAAATAAAATCTTTTAAAAAAAGGAATCAGAGAAACTGGAAGTGGGGGCCTGTGGGAATCAGAACACCACAACAACCACTGGTGCATGTCCGTTCAGACTCCCAGATCTCTGAGAAAACTCGAGATTGCAGGGTTAAAAATAACCCAAAAGGATCGGAGTGAAATGCCCTTGGGATGTGAGTGGTCTGTTCTAAAGTACACAGCAGAAGATGTTTTGTAGATAGGAAGCCAGCTGTAAAGAGCACACTGTGCACTCCCTTCTTTGTTCTCTTATCCTGTGTTAAGGTCCGAGTACAATGGTATTTACAATTAATTGATCACAGCCAAGTTACAGATTTCTTTACTCCTTCTCCACTCCCATTGCTTCACTTAAGTAACCCTGTGTACGTGGAAGAATGTGCCTTACTAAGCCCCTGCTGTAAATCATTATAGATCTATATCATTGTAGAAGGTATATTAGATTATGGAAAAGAAACCTCAGGACCTCGGGCTGTTCGCTCGGGGTCCCCTGTGCCTCGCTTTACTGTCGTCTCTTCTTCTCAGTTCCTTCGCCGCCCCAGGTCCACAACTCTCAGAGGTCGACAGGGGCCTACAGAACATTTTTGTACGTCTTCACTATTCTTCTGCAAATCCAAAACTATCCTAAGACAAAACGATCCTTAACAAAAAGTAACAAAGCTAAAATCAGACAAATGGCGGCCTGTTTCCATTGGAATTTTAGAGGGAAAAACTTTTTGTTTGCTGGGCTGGGACGAGAGCGAGGTGAGTAAGGCACTCTCCTCAGTTGCAAAATTTAGGGGCGCACCGAAAGGTTTCATTTTTGTCATCCCCATTTTACAGCTCCAGAAACCGAGGCCGAAAGGAAATTGCTTGCGCAGGTCCTACAGGAGGCAAGGCTCTTCACACACAGCCTGGGCCTCTGACCTGCAGCTGTGATCCCAAACTGACCCCAAAGTCTGAAGGCCAGTACAGTGTGAAGTCAGCTCTGCCGACGGTCTTGTGTTTGCCCCTGGGGTCCTGGCTAGGGAGGGAGGGCCCTTTTCAAGTGACACCCAAGCTCCCCCGAGCCTCTTCAGCAAGACCATCCCTCATCCCTTGTTCTTTGGCTGCTGAGTGGCTTTCATGGGGGACTTCTAGGCAGAGCACGTCCAACGGGGGGCCTAGAGAGGCTTCTCCCTTCTGGGAGGCCTGGGCCCCCCGCTGTGGCCCTGCCTGGCCGCTGGCCCTGCTCACCACACCCCTGGAAGTGGCCAACACAACAAAACCTGGGCTGGAGTCTGCGCTGTGGGCGGGCAGTAGCTGAAGAAGCCACAGGAAAAGCACAAGACAACCAACCTTCCGCCCATCACAGGCAGTGGGTGGGAGCCTCCCACCAGGCTGATGTCCAGCAGGAAGCTCTGGCTCAAGCCCCCTTCTGAGGCCTCTCCCTGGGCACTCCCCAGGCACTTTGGACTCCCATCCCAAATGGACTGGACTGTCTTTCCTCAAAATGTGCTCCTCGCTCCATGGCCACATTTCATTGTTTTTCACCTTTCCTCCTGCCCTGGCCCACACATCCCCTGAGCGCCTACTGGATGCCAAAGCACTTCGCTAGAAACTCCACACCGCCCCCCTCCCCGATGAGGCAGCTCCTGTTATTGCCCCACTTCACAGATGGGAAAACTGAGGTTGAGAGGGTTTACTTGGGGTCCTGGGATGGCAGAGGCAGATTCTAGAGGTGGGAGCGTATTCCCTGTGGGAGCCAGGACGAAATCCAGGCGACCTTCTCTGTGGGTTGGGGTGGCCCTGGTGGCCAAATGGGGGAACTGCAGCCTGCGTCCTGGGGTCCCACGGCATAGGCTTCCAGGTCCCCAGCCTTCAGTCCCTCCTCAGACACCCTCCATGGTTCCCTGTGGTCCCCTCGGTGGCCGCAGGGATGCTAGACAAACCCCTGCTGGGTCACCACCATGGGGAACACTAAACGCAAAACCTGGCCTCGGGGGTCAGAGCCAGGTCCCGCCCCCAGTCTACCACTCACCTCTCAGCCTCAGTTTCCCCAGCTTGGGGCTGAGCCAACGACAGCTGCTGTCTCTTCAGGTCCTGGGACACACAAACACAAGGCTGACAGGCATGAGACCCTCAGTAACTGCAGTTGTCAGCCTCAGTTACATGCGGAAGAGGGGGCAGGAACTTGAGATGGGGTGTTTCCCGCCCCCCCACCCCCCGCAGCCCCGGCTACCCCCCTCCACCGCCAAACTGGAAAAGCTCCAGGTTTCAACTCAGCACAAACAACCCACCTTTTCCCTGAGAAATTGAAACTGAAACCTTAAACTCTTTTCTGCCTGCAGATGGCCCATTCGAGATCCTCCAGGTCAGAGGATTCTCTCCGACTTTGTCATTGGTCAGGACGGCCCTATGCTAATAAGGGGGTGGTAGCCCCAGCCACTAGAAGGTTCCAGCATCCTAACTCCCGCCCAAGCTCACCACATCCAGGGGCAGATGTAGATGGCACCTACCTTTTACCATTACTGGCCTGTGCCCACTGACAAATCAGAGTCAATGCTGCAAGATCGGCTGGGGAGGCAGAACTGGCCGGTGATCTTGGGGATCCCGTTGGTGCTGGGTCTGTTCATAGGCCTGATTGTCTTTGCTGTCAGGGCCAACAGTAAAGCCTGCAAGGATGGCCTCCTAGCAGAGCAGGAGTGTCGCAATGTCACCCGTCTCCTGGAGCTCCAGCTAACCCAAACCCGGCAAGACTTACTAGGGACCATGGACCAGGCTGCCACCTGCAACCAGATTGTGGTAAGCGACTGCAGCTCCCGGAGAGGGCCCGGCGCTTGCGTGGCCCCCACAGGTCTAGATGGAGATGGACATAGAACTTGAAACTGTCCCTGGACCCCCACAATGGGAGTTGAGTTTCCCTGCTGGGCTTTGGGGGACCGCTAAACTTTCTCAGCAGTGCTGGTGTGGGGCAGGGCCTTTAAAACGCCCCCCAGAGCACCCAAATCCCCACTAGGATGTGGGAAGAATCTCCAACCTGTTACGGGAGAGCTAGAAGTTCCTCTCTGCCCCAGTCTTGGGCAGCAGAAATCCCATCTAGGTTTTGGGATGGGGACTTCACCATGTCCTAAAGAAGGGTCAGGCTCTTGATACATCCACTCCATCCCTGGGAGACTGTGAAACTTTCACATGGGTCCTGATATGGGGGACCTTGAAACTCCCACCGACATCTAACTTGGGCTCGGGAATCCCCGTGTTCTGGGTTTGGGGAAGGACCTCTAAATCTTGGGCAATAGCCCATGAGGTCTAAGAGTTTCTCCTAGGGTTTGGGCATGGGGAGCCTCCAAATTCCCATGTGGGGGGCCTCAAATCCCCTATTTTGGGATTACATCCTTAGGTGCCCTGGGAGAGTGGGAGGTTGTGGCCATTCTTGGAGGTGGGAGACCGGGGTGCAGGGAGGTTTGGAGGGAAACCTGAAAGGGGTTTGGCCCCGGGCCCCTCTGACCATGGGGCCTGGGGAAGAGGTCCGGGACCCAGGGCAGCAGCTACCCGGCTCCGCAGGCCAGAACGCCAGTCTCTGACCCTCCCCTCTGTCCCAGGTGAACCTGTCAGCTTCCCTGGAGATGGAGAAGGCCCAAGGTCAGGAGGAGCACATCCAAAAAGAGGAGCTTCGGGGTAAGAAAGCACAAAGCCAGGGTTCCATGGAGGGGGATCCAGAGGGGTGGGTCAAGCATTGAAGGGGGGATGTCTCAGGGTTGGGATCGCCGGGGAGTGGTCAGAATCCAGTGGAGGGTGGGAAGGGAGTACCCCAGGTTTCCAAGGTGGGGTGGCATGAGGCGGGGCTGGAGGAGGTGTCAGGTCTCGGGGTAGATCCTGGCGAAGGATATGGCCGCTTGTCACGCCGTGTCCAGCCCCCCGTGTCACTGTGCTGACATGGCCCCCTGATTCTCTCCCGCCTTAGGAGAGATTGAGAAATTGAAGCAGAAGCTGCAAGACGCTTTGGAGGAGGTAGAGCGACTAAGGTCCGAGCCACAGCCCCTGACCATGCCCCTTTCACCCGTCCTACCCCAAGACCCAGGACTCCCTTTGCTTGGAAAATTCCCATTGCTCAGGGCGTAAAGTTTGAGGCCCAGCCTTGTCCCTCTGGTCACACAAGCCTTGAGTGGCCACTGCCCACTCTCCTCCCCACTGACTTGGTAGGGGAGGAGGGGAGATTCTGAGCGGCGACAAGGCCAGACCTGGTGCAGGCCCACCAGCTGCCTCAGTTGTCCCCACATCTTCCCCAGAAAAGAGAAGGAGGCCTCAAGCAAGGAAGGGGAAACCAGCTTTGGCAGCTCCTTGCAAGCACTCAGCCCCTTGATGGGCCCTGTGTACCTGCTCCTGGGCCTCATTGCTCTGCTGGCCTGAGGCCTGCCGGTAAGAGGGGGGTGGCCTGGGGTAGAAGAAAGCTGGGGACGCGAGGGAAGGAGGGAGCCCAGGATAGGCCGGGGTCTGGGGAGGTGGCCTGCCTACAGGGTAGCTGGCAGGGCACAGAGAAGGGTCTTGGGGAGGGAAAGAGGGCTCCCCAAGTGGGGAGCTGGCCTGGAGGAGGGCGGGGCCCCCTTCTGTCCCCTCCAGGCCACCCTTAGTCCCTCTTATGATGTCTCCTTAGCCCACAGCCTGGACTTTCCCCTTCAAGGCTTCCCTGACCAGACCAGTTTTGAGGGAGCCACATGGCAGCATGGTTAGGGGGAGCTGGGCGAGATAGCAGTGGGGTGGGGGACAAGAAGCAGTCTCAGGGATGGACCCCAGCAGGGGGCTTGGCCCCGGGCTGCCTCCCCCCCCCCCCCCCACCGACTCGGCCTCCCCCCAGAGCTGGGCAGGGCATAGGGTGGGGAGTACTTATTTCTTGGTATCGTGGTTTCTGGAAGCTCACTGACTTCTGAAGTCTTTGACCTCCAAAAAGTAGACGCCCCTTTTGGGGGCAAAGAAAGACCATACTCTGAAGTTCCTGGAGTGAGTGCCATTATGTCACCCCCATGCATCCAGAGCCTGTCCTGCAGCTGAGGGTGGACACCCACTGACATCCACACCCAAGCTTCCCTGCTCCAGAATGTTCCCAGGAACCCTTAGGGTTTGGGCAGCTACCATCTCCCTGCCTCCCTGGCCCTCTTCACTGGGATCATCATACAGGACTCTACCCCCTCATCAGCACTCACTGTGGGCCGAGCATTCTACTCATCTAGTCTCATCTCCCCTCCTGTCCTCACTGCATCTTCTCCTGATACCTGGTCCAATGCGGGGAAACCCAGGCTGTGGTAGGGGGGCATCCTGTCCTAGCTCCCAATCCCATCCCCCAGACTATTCGGGGCTGGGATTCAAACCTGGATCTGCAGACACACATAGGCCGGGCCCTTGTCACAGTGTTCCTCCCCACCCCGGTCCGAACTCGTATTCCTCCTGCAGTACCCAGGTCTGGGAACCCCTCCTCCAGAGAGCCTCTCTGCTTCTTCAAAATCCAGAGCTGCTGTCTCGATAGACTCTTTGTCGACTTGCACGGATCCTCCCAGGCTCCATCAACCCTTCCCCCTCTGTTATCTCCCTTTCTCCAAGTCCTTCTGGAATCCTAACAATCGTCCAGGCCACTTCCTGCCTTTGCACTGGAGCTGGGACCTTTGTGTCCGTCAGCATTGTTGAGTCTTGCGCTGCGTTGGGCTCTGCCGTGGAGGCTGCCCTGGGTGCTGCAGGATCTTGAGCAACTTCCCTGGCCTCCGCGCACTAGATGCCCATACTGTTACCCACCCCACCCCACCCCCACATTGTGACAATAAAAAAATGCCTTCAGACATTAGCAAGTCTCTCATGGGGCGGGACAGATTCACTTCCTGTGAGAACCTCTGCTCTAGAGGCCGAGGTTCCGGTTTTCCTCACTTCCGTGTCGCCAGCTTGCAGAAGGGCCCAGGAGGAGTTCATTGGGTTGCTTCAGGATGACTGAGTCATTTTGGTGAGAGCTCTCATCCTGGGGCAGGTCCTGGACTGTTCCAGGAATGTTCCTGGACTTACTCGGGGCTTCTGAGCTGCTCAGGGAATTCTGATTCCCAGAAGCAAACCCTTCTCACGTGACCTCCTGGGTCCTCCCCCCAACCTGTTCCTGAAGCTGGAAAGGCAAATATTCCAGAGATGGGTTCTCATTGGAAAGGAATATGAGCTTTATTCAGGAGGCTGGCCACCTGGGGGGAAGGCCAACTCCAAGGTTTGCCTGACCCAGAGATTTTTCAAGGGGTTTAGGGCAGTTAATCAGTTAAGGGAGTGCAGTGGCCTGTGATAATTCTTAATTATGTGCAGTCTTAATAGTGCCAGCTACACACGTTATTATGGGGCTCACAGGTCGGCAAGGGATTCTGGGTCCTTGGTTCCTGGGGTGGTGCAGGAGAACCTGGTGATGTGCAGAAGTGCTCTGTTCTTGCTAGGAAAGAATGCAAGATCTATAAATATACGAAAAAAGGTTTAGTTAATCAGTCACTCGGGCTAAGGGTGCTGGCTAAAACTTAGTGCCTGCTAGACCGGTCAGAGGGGTTGAGGTGCCTTCACCTCCACCACCATCCTCAACTCCCACCCCCAACTCGGGCTACCAGAAAGTCCCAAAACAGTGCTGCCCCTATCCCCCCCCCCCCCGGGGCCTGGACTGTGTTTCCATGGTGATGGGGGACAGGTTTGCTCAATATGATGGATTCAACCTGTTCAGTTTCTCCTCCCAAGCCCCCATACGTGGCTGAGTAGAAACTTCTCTCCTTCCTAAAAATGCCCCTGTAGGGGTCAAGGGCCGACCACCCCAAGATGGGCCGCTTTGGCATGAAGACTATATTGAGTAAAAAAGGCAATCAAGGGGCACCTGGCTGTCTCAGTCTGTAGAGCATGAGACTCTTGATCTCAGGGTCGTGAGTTCGAGCCCCACGTTGGACATAGAGCCTACTTAAAAAAATCAAATATTCTGATTTTAAAAATACAGTAAGGGGTACCTGGGTGGCTCAATTGGTTAAACGGTTAAACGTCTGCCTTCGGCTCAGATCATGATCCTGAAGTCCTGGGATTGAGCCTGGGCTCCCCGCTCAGCAGGGAGTCTCCTTGTCCCTCTCCCTCTGCCCCTCCCCTCCACTCATGCTCTCTTTCTCAAATAAATAAATAAAATCTTTTAAAAAATTAAAAATAAAATAAATAAAATAAAATAAGCAATCAAAACCCAGCAGATTCAGGAAGAACTCTTTCCTCCCTCACAACTGCCTAAAAAGAATGTAAACAGAGGACCTGCCCCAGGATGAGAGCTCTCACCAATAGATTACTACATCATATTGTGAACTTGATATGGTAGACAGGGAGAAACCCAGCAAGGCCTATTTGATCAAAATCTTCTATGCCCCATTCTTTCTGAGTGGCTCAGCATATACTTGTTTACTGAACATTTACTCTTTTTCATCTTCCTATGAATTGTATTCCTTCCCTTTGAAGTCCCAGACCCCTACCCCCCTCCTCTCCTTAGTTTAGAATGACATATATACCTGATTTTGCCCGTCTTTGGAAGTTCCTTGTCTGTGTGGATTCCCCATACGTATGAAATTAAATTTTATTTTCTCCTGTTAATCTGTCTTATGTTAATTTGATCCTTAGTCCGGCTAGAAGGATCTAGAAGGGGGACAGAAAATTCTTACTCCCTAACACCCCTTTTCCCTCACTAGCTGTGACCCAGCGGAGGGTTGAGAAGTCAGGTCTGAGGGGTCCTGCAGGTCTGTGGGGTTCCAGCTCCAGCAGGAACCCGGTAGTGACCAGAGGCTGCTGTGTGACCCTGCCCTGTGACTTGGCCTCTCTGGGCTCTGGTTTCTTCCTGTGGAATGGGGGCACGGGGAAGGGGAAGACACCACTCACATTTACTGCATGACTACTGTGTCCATGCGGTGGCAGTGGGAAAGAGGCTTTGCTTTTTAGGAGCTCCCCTAGTCTGATGGTGAAGGCAGCCAGGACTCAAACACATAAAAGGTAAAATTACAGAAGAGCTCAAAGAGTTAGTCAGAAGGGGCCTGGAGTTAGTGGGGGAGGGAAAGGGTTCTGGAGGAGTAGATACATGAGTCAGGGGTAGGGGTGGGAGGAGCTTATAAGAAACTGTTAGCTGGGCAAAGACAAGAGGAAAGGGTGCTCAGGTAGAGCAAAGGGCCAACACAGAGGCCCTGGGATGCGAATGTGCTTGCCAGAAGAGGAGGTCAGAAGGGATTCAACAAGGAAAAAATAAAGACATAGGGGACTTGCAAGGTGAAAGGATTCTATTCAAAGCCCCCTCCCCAGCCAAGCTTACAGACAAAAACTCACAGGCGTCTGACTTGGCCCTGACTCTCTGTTTTTCCAGGTCATGGTGCCCCTTGTTCTCAGAAAACAGACCACCACAGGGCACCTGGGTGCCTCCATGGGTTAAGCGTCTGCCTTCAGCTCAGGTCACGATCCCGGGGTCCTGGGATCGAGCCCCACATCAGGCTCCTTGCTCAGCGGGGAGCCTGCTTCTCCCTCTGCCTGCCATTCCCCCCATTTGTGCTCTCTCTCTCTGATAAATAAATAAAATCTTTGAAAAGAAAAACTAGGCCATCACAACAAAGCATATTCTTTTCTAGCAAGTTAGCAAACCACATCCCAGATGAGCCCCTGAAAGAGCCCTCCCCCCTGCAGAAACTTGTCACCTCCTGCTCTATGGGGCCAAGCAAGTGTCAACATCCTCCTCACACAGTCCTCCCCCAGGGGTGCAGCTGAGCCTGACATCTCTCTCCACGTCTGGCCCCTCTCCTCCCTTGGAAAGTGAATAAACTCTGTCCTGCTTGTGCTCCACTCTTCGCGCAATTCTTTGCCACCAGGCTCACCGGCCACCCTAACATCATCTCAAAGCTTTCTTTGAACTTGCCCATCATCCTGAGCTTCCCACTACTTGCCCTATACTCTTTCTATCTCCCCAAAGACCCCTCTCCCTCTCCCCAGGTCTCCCCACTCAGACTTCAACTCTGCTGACCGACCTCCGCCTTTCCACCCGCCCGCAGGTGATCCTCCCTTGGCTCCTCCACAGCCCCCCCTCCTTCCCCTCAAGACCCTTCAGCACCCCTTCCCCGCCTTCAGCCCTTATCTGCACGTCCTCAGATCCTTCTCCGGCCCACACGCCCTCTGGCCACCCTTACCAACCTCCCAATGCTCCCAATTCCCTCTTGGCGAAGTGGCTGGAGCAGGGGGCATGGTTCAGGTTCACATTCCCTCCTGCACGCCAGATCTTTCTCTTATAAAATCTAAGGTTCGCTCTTTTTCAACCCATCCCTCCAGATTCACTAAGGAATCTGAGTATCTCACCCTTCCCTCTGATTTGTCGTGGACGGACCTATATGTTAATCTCTCCACCTGTACCATCCCAGAGGAAAGAAACAGAATTTGGCCCCAGGCAACTGAATGTGCTGATGATCTGAGCTGCAGACAGCCTGCACAACGAGCTCCCAGCAATGCGGCCGTCCCCTTGGCCGAGCCCACTTGGAATTAACCACCCCTCCTCTGGAGACAAGGTCAAACTCGACCACATGGTCCCCATCTTCTAGAAGGCGTGAAATGGGCAGCTTCTAAACAGGTCAATTAGGAAAGGTGAAGGGAGATCACCCAAAGATCAGATAAAAACCCTGCCCTTTTCCTCACTCGCCTCACTGAGATTCTTCTTTTTTTTTTTTTTTAAAGATTTTATTTATTTGACAGAGAGAGACACAGCGAGAGAGGGAACACAAGCAGGCGGAGTGGGAGAGGGAGAAGCAGGCTCCTCGCTGAGTAGGGAGCCCGATGCGGGGCTCGATGCGGGGCTCGATCCCAGGACCCTGAGATCATGACCTGAGCTGAAGGCAGACACTTAACGACTGAGCCACCTGCGCGCCCCACTGAGACTCTTCAAAAACTCACCGACCTTGATCCTAACTCTCGTGCAGGAAAATTGATCCTGGCTCTGCATTGTATCTCCCAGCCAGCCCCAGACATTAGGGGAAAAAAAAAAAAAACCTTCAAAAACTGGATAAAGCCCACAAAACCATCAATCCGAAGTACTAGACCCGGCCTTCAAGGTTTTTTAACAGCAGAGAGGAGGAAATCAAAGAGGAAAAGAGAAAAATATCAAAAAACGATCTCAGGCTTATCAGCTCCTGGCTACTGCCCTCACTGGAGCAATTCTAGAAAAGTCTTACCGTGCTGGCTTGACCCAAACATTCAACAAACCCCCTCCAGGAGCTTGTTACGCTTGCAGTAAGCCTGGCCACTGGTCCAAACAGTGTCCCAATAAAAAACAAAAACAAAAAAGGGCCACCCAAAACCTCTTGTCCCTCCTGTAAGCAGGTTGGCTGCTGAAGAGTGACGACCCCATCCTCAAAGTGGGGGGAGGGCATCTCCCAAAACCTTTCCTCAGGGCCCAAATAGGAGAGAGGATCAGCCATATCCCTGGTGGCTGATCTCTTGGGACTTCAGGATACGGAGTGACACACCCCAGGATCTCCCTGGATTTTCAGGACCCTCTCTTCCCTCCCCCATCTCTGTCGTTGGGGTTGATGGCATTCTTTCTTCAGCTACCCAACTCTGGTCATGTGCCCTGGGAGATCAAATCTTTAGCCATCTCTTTCTTGTTCTGCCACGCTGTCCTCTCCCCCTGCCAGGACAAGACATTGTGACCAACCTAGGGACTCGCTTTCATCTGCACCCCGTACACCCCCAATCCCAATTCCTGGGACTCCTTACTGAACCTACACACCCTGCTCCCACTTCACTCTTTCCAGTTTTGACTCCAGGTCCCTCGTCCATATGGGACACCTCCAAACCAGTTAAGGCTACTCACCTCACCCCCATCACCATATACCTCAAGGATCCTACTTTTTTCCCTTCCAAACCCCAATATCCTCTCAAACCTGAGGCCTTAAGAGGCTTGCAGTCCCTCATTTCCAAATTCCTTTCCTCAAATGTATTAAAGCCTACTAACTCTCTACAGTACTCCAATCCTTCCCGGCAAAAAGCCAGACGGTTCTTATAGATTAGTTCAGGATCTCAGAATTACCAATGAGGCAGTCCTCCCCAAGCCAGACACCCCTCTCTCCGCCATTCCACCCTCCACCATGTACTTCAGTGTCTTAGATCTTAAAGACTCATTTTTCACTATTCCCATCTCCCCAGAATCCCAAGACCTTTTCGCCTTAGCCCAACACAGTTAACTTGGACACCTCTCCCACGGGGTCTTAGGGATAGCCCCCACCTCTGTGGACCAGCTCTGGCATCAGATCTTTCCCACCTCTCCCTTCCAAATAGTACCCCTCTCCAACCTGTGGATGACCTCCTTTTCAGCCCTGCTGGGCCCACTTCTATTTCTGACACCATCACCATCCTCACCTTCCTAAACAACAAAGGTTATAGAGTCTCCCTCTCCAAAGCCCATCTTTTTTTTTTTTTAAAGATTTTATTTATTTATTCATGAGAGACAGAGAGAGAGGCAGAGGGAGAAGCAGTCTTCCCGCGGAGCAGGGAGCCCGATGCGGGACTCGATCCCAGGACGCTGGGATCATGACCTGAGCCCAAGGCAGACGCTTAACCATCTGAGCCACCCAGGCGCCCATCCAAAGCCCATCTTAACCAACAATCTGTCCCATACCTAGGATTTTTGCTTACACCGGGACAACTGACCATATGGCCCTGCATGGAGCCCAACTCTCGAACCTACTTCCTCTGTGGTTCACCCCCCACTTGGAAGGGGCACTGCGCCTTCGTGTACCTAGTTCCTGATCAGCACTTTCCCAACTCACCAGCCCTCACACCCCTAACACAGGGTGTAACAGGCACTCAAGTAGAAACCCAGTCTTTTTGTATCCCACCCCTGTAGAACTGAGCCAATATCTATCCTCATCCTCCTTGGCATCCTTATGGGAATTGGGTTAGGCACGGGAGGAACAGCTCATCCTATCCATACGTGGGAACCCTCTCTTTCCTTGAGTCAAAAGTAGCCGATTTGGCTTCCACACCCTAAGCAACACAGAGACAGTCTGATTCCCTGGGAGGAGCAGTTCTTCAAAATCCTCTGGTTTTAGACCCTTTGACTGCTAATGAGGGGGTTACTCGTACCTTATTGTGGAAGAATTCTGCTTCTATGTAAATGAGTCAGGTCAGGTCTTGGACAGCCCTGAGAAAATTATCAACTCAGCTAGGGACAATGAGGAACAATATAAAAACTGGGGGGGGGGGGGGGGCTGATTAGTTCTTCTGGAAACTAGATATCTGGTCTTGGTTCTCATGGCTCATTCCATTCCTGGGACCTTTGGTGGTTATCGGATTAGCCCTTATTTGGAGGTCCATGTATTTTAAAATAAAGAATCTCCTTCATCCCGGACAGAATCTCAACCCTTGGTAGCTCTCTGAGGTCTCAGCAAACTCATGCTCAGGCCCCCTTGCCCTGCAAGCAAGATGCCACCAACATCCCCCTCACTCTCATCCCTCCTGCCTCTGGGTGCGGACAGCTCTGTGACCCTGCTCAGCGGGAAGTAGTTACAGAAGGATGACCTTCTCCCATTTTCCCAAATCAAGAATAATTTCAAATAAAGAGAGGAGGGAACGAAAGGTTTCTATTCAAAGCCCCCTCCCCAGCCTAGCTTACAGACAAAATTCACAGGTGTCTGTACTTGGCCCTGACTCTTTGTTTTTCCAGATCACGGTGCCCCTCATTCCCCAAAAATAGACCACCACGACAAAACATATTCTTCTCTTTTTTTTTTTTAAGATTTTATTTATTTATTTGAGAGAGAGAGAATGAGAGACAGACAGCATGAGAGGGAGGAGGGTCAGAGGGAGAAGCAGACTCCCTGCTGAGCAGGGAGCCCGAGGTGGGACTCGATCCCGGGACTCCAGGATCATGACCCGAGCCGAAGGCAGTCGCTTAACCAACTGAGCCACCCGGGCACCCCAAAACATATTCTTCTCTAGCGAGACTGCAACCCACATCCCAGATGAGCCCAGACAGAGCCCTCCCCCCCACCCCATCCCCCAGAAACTTGTCACCTCCTGCTCTACAGGGCCAAGTGTCGACCCCCTCCTCACACACCCTACCCCGTGGGCACAGCTGCAACCCTCTCACATCCTTAAAACCCCTTAAAAGGCCCAGCCTGACAGAAACTCAGGGCGACATCTCTCTTGATGTCTGCCCCCCCTCCCCCCTTGGAGAGTGATTAAACTCTGTCCTGCTTGTTGCTCTACTCTTTGCGGCCAGCCCAGAGTCACCCTAACGCAAGGGAAAGAGGAGGGGGAAGGATGAGGAGAGGGAGACAGAGGGGAAGGAGAAGAAAAGGGGAGACACAGGGAGAAGGAAGAGGTGGAAGAAGGGGAAAAGGAAATGGAGGAGGGCCCTGAGGAGATGAAAAGAAGAGGAGGAGGAGGAGGAAGGGAAGGTGGAGGAGGAGGGAGAGGAGGGGAGGACGAGAGGAGGAAAAGGAGGGGGAGGAGGGGGAGAACGAGAGGAGGAAGAGGAGGGGGAGGAGGGGGAGATTCGCTTCTGAGAGGAAGGGACATCGCTAGTCGTAGACCGACCTGGATCTGATTCGCGATGTAAGTTCGCCCCCTGGCGGCCTCGTGGAGATCGGGCAGGGAGATGGGACCGCTCCCCTCGGGGCGTCTGCCCCCTGACCCTCTCAGCCAGTCACAGAAAGCCTGGCAGCCTGAACCAGGCCAACCTCAGTCGGTCGGGTAGCCTCCCATCTTTTAGCCTCAGTTTTTCCATGAACAGAATGGGGAGCCTTGCCGAGTACCCCCAGTGCAGATGGGTACCTTGGGAGGATGTGCTCACATGGTTCCCACTCGGTCCTGTGGGGCAGGAGCTAGGGCCATCCCCCCTTCACAGTGGGGGAGACTCTGAGGCTCGGAGGACAGCACACGGGGTGCAGAGGCAGGACCGGAACCCAGGACCCCCAATCCTGTCCTGGGCTCCGGTAGCCTAGGCTGGCCCTTGGCCAGGGTCCAGCCCCTCCCAACGGACTCGGGAAGCCACGGCCGGGAGGGGCGGAACCGTGGGTGTCCCTGGCGCCCCAAGGTGCCAATTAAATGCTCGTGGCTGTCTGGGACCAGAGCTGTGGACAGCGGCATGGCCGAGCTGGGGCCAGAGCCGGGCCGCGCGTGGCGGGTGCTGGCCCTGTGCGGGGCGGCGGTGTTCCTGGCGGCCGCGGCAGCCGGGGCGGCCCTGCTGGCCTGGAATCTGGCCTCCTCGACCTCCCGGGGACCTCGCTGCCCACAGCCAGGGGCCAACGCCACGGCGCCCCCCGTGGACCTGGCGCCTGAGCTCGAGGAACTGCGGCGACAGCTGGCAGAGGCGACCCAGCACGAGGAGGCTCTGGCCAGACAGCTGGACCAGGCCAACCGAGTCGGTCGGGAGCTGGAGGAGGCACTGAGGGCCTGTCAGGGCCGCCAGGTAGGTGGTCAGGGTGGTGGGCTGGGGAATCCAGAATTGGGAGAGGACATGCACACACATCCCCACGGTGGCCCACCTGTGCACTGGTTTCCCTAATTCTTTAACTGAGGGGAGCAAATGAGAATAGCACCATAGTCCCTTCCATGCAGATGGGTACTTTGGGAGTCCCTAGCTCCCCCTGGAGTCTACCTTCTGAGGAAGAAGGCCCCCACGGTTCTCTGCTATCTGCCTAATAGCTGGTGAGGGCTAGGGAAGCCCCAAGCCCCTGAGCCCAGCTGGGGAGCCCCTGTGCTAGCCCTCCCCCTGGGTGCCCACTCAACCTCCCCCAGCCAGCTCCAGCAGCCCTATTTCGAGAGAGGGACATTCATGTCACCTGTAATTAGGAAGCTAAAGTTGGCCTCTTGGGGGAGGTACTGGCCAGGTCCTCCCTTTTCCTCTGGCCACCCCTTCAAACTCTTTCTTAACCCTTCCCAGCCCTGGGCCTTGCAAAACAACCATCCTCAAAGTCCCAATCTTCCATTTACTAACTATTCTGTATCTCTGTGTACGAAGCCCAGCAGGGGTTGAGCGGTGTGTGAATTTTAGAAATCAAAACAGACCTCTACCCTTTACCTGCCTGCCTAAGAGAAGGGCCTGAGGCCACTGAGGTTAAGAGGAGCCTGTTCTGGGTTCAAATTCTGACTCCACCACTCAGTGGGAGATGTTCTGAGGAAGCCAGGCCAGTTGTTTTGAAGAATGTCACCCGTAGCTGAGGGAGCATACTCCAGAAACCCAATCATTGTCAACCACCAAATTGGCCTGTATTGGTTTAAAACCCTAGTCGGTGAGTCTAGAAGAAGCTGGAATTGGAACCGGAGTCTGACCGCAGAGCTAAACCGTCTCCACATCCGGTGGCTTGGGGTGGGGGGCGGTAGACCTGGATAGAGCAGCGGTCACCGCTCCGTGCGGCAGGCCACTTCTGTGTTTTCTAACCACAGGACTCCCAAAGGACATTCCAAATAAAGCTCAGGGAACGCGGTGACCAGTGTCTGTTCAGTCTGCCCCAGAAAGAGGGGAGACTTCACTTCTGGTCTCCCCGACCCCTCCCACCCCCCTACCCTCCTCACTTCCCCTCCACTACTCAGAGCCGGCTTCAGACCCAACTGATGACCCTGAAGACTGAGATTGAAGAGGCCAAGGCACAGGGGACCCAGATGGGGGCTGAGAACGGGGCGCTCACAGGTGTGTTGGGGCGCAAGGCGTGGCCAGGGATAGGGGTGGGAGGAGCCTAAAAGGTTCCTGGTTACGCAAATGGCAAGCACGGGTGCAAACGTAAAGAACACGCAAATAAACGCGAAAAGTTATGAAAGAAATGCACATAACACTCAAAGGCCACGCAAATGTCACAAAAACAACGCAAATACAACAAAATATGCAAACGCCACGTACACGACTCCCGAAAGCAATACAAACCTATAAAAAGCTCTGCAAATGACACGTAAAGGTCATGCAAACAGCACACAATTTAATTCAAATAAAGCAAAGCTGCAAATAGTATGCAGACGGTAAACTCGAACGCCTGCATTAGCGGGGAGGGAGAGAGGTCTCGGAGCTGACCCCGCTCCCTGCGCCCGCAGAAGCCCTGGCGCGCTGGGAGGCGGCGGCCACGAAATCTGCGCGGAGGTTGGACGAGGCACAGCAGCGCGCACGCGCGGCCGAGGCCGAAGCCGAAGCTTGCGCAGCCAGGGAGGCGGTGCTGCGCGAACGCGCGTGAGTGAGGGGCGGGGCCCGGGGCGGTGGACGGGCGCGGTGCGTGGCCAATAGCTGCGCAAGACTTCGTTCTTTCGGCCAATCATCACATGGAGGGCGAAGAAGGGGGGGAAGGGTCCCTGGGGATGGAGAAGGGGTGTGGCCATGTGGGAGGGGCCTTGGAGAGTTGAGTGATGGGAGAGTCGAAGAGGGGATCCTAGAGTTGGAACCTAGGGGTGGTGAAGGATGTAATCTCTCTGGAGGTGAGAATCTCCACTTTGGGGCCGGCACTCTGGAGGCATTTGTCCCTGGGGTCGGGCTTACATGGAGGGCCTTTGGGAAGGGCGAGGATAGGAAGAAAATGATGTAAGGAAAAGGTATTGAGAGGACGGGAGCGAGGAGGTGGAGCTCCTGGAAAAGGAGCTGGGAGTCCCTGGGGAGGAGTCCCAGGAATGGCTGGGGGTGGAGAAAGGATAGGGAATCCTGGGGAGTGGAGTTCTCAGGAAAGATGGAAGAGTACTGGGGGGAGGGGGACAGGGGTCCAGGTGCTGATGGGCTTCTCCCCACTTCTGTCAGTAAAGCCCTGGAAGCCGAGATGGGCCCCCAGCGCAGAGTGCCGCAACCCCGATCCCGCTCCGTGTCCCGACCCCGACCCAGCCCCCGTTCGCGCTCTCGCCCAGGACCCTCTGGGGGCTGCCGGAGGCCGGCGCGGCGCGCACGAGGGTGAGTCAGACCCCAGGAAGATGAGGGCTCTGAGGCCAGGAGGGCACACACTGTGGCTGGAACATGTATAGAGGTGCCCACGCTGGATGAGATGCCCCGTCGACACCCATCAACGCTCAGCTTTAGACCCAAGAACCACAGAACGGAAACTACAGGAAGGAGACTCGACCCTCTCTCCCCAACAATCTAGTGCTTATTTCACAGATGGGGAAACTGAGGCCCATTTGATAACACAATGAGATAGTGTTTTGGGACTTAAGTCCCTTCTAATGACAGTGTTGCTTCATCCCACAGACATGAAGACTTACGGTCCAGCCCTAGCTCAAGAGTGACCTGGAAGGGTCAATTCTCCTCTCTGGGCCCCAGTTTACCTTGTCTGTAAATTGAGTGGAATCATGTTTAGTGAGCCAGCCTATCAACTGACTGAGATGTCACAATGGGAAAACTACAGACCCCTCTTCCTATGAGGAGGGTATGAAACTCCCAAATGGAATTTTAGCAAAAGGAATTAAGCAACACATTTCTTAAATACATCACAACAAAGAGGACTTATGCCTGAGATGCAGGGATGGTTCAATATTCACAAATCTGCTAATAAAATTCACCATACTAATGGATCAAATGAGAAAAGTTCTGAAAAGGCCATCAAAATGAGTGCCAAGGTGAGGATAACCACTGTCAAGTATTTAATATTGTTCTGGAGGTACTAGCCAATGCACTTAGACAAGGAAAAGAAAGAAGAGGTGTGAATATTAGAAAAGCAGTAGGGAATTTATAGTTTGAATCATATGTAAGCACTGTTTATATAGGTAAACAATAACAGAAATATCAACAATTTCATATGGCTCAATTTCACATTCATTTTGTCTTTTACCTTATATTTGACATAACTTCAGACTTACAGGAAAGTTGGAAGATTAGTACAAAGAATTCCTGAATACTCTTCCCCCAGATTCCACAAATGTTACCACCTTTGCTTTATTCTCTCTCTCTCTCTCTGAACCTTTTATGAAAATTTGCAGAAATGATGTCTTGTTACCCATAACACCTGAGTATGCATTTCCTATAAAAACAAGGACATTCTCCCACATAATCACAGTAAATTACGAACATCAGAAAGTGGACATTGATTGATAAAACACTATTATCTAATCTACAGACTTTAATCAGACTTTGCCAACTGTTCTAATAATGTCTTTTATAACAAAAGAATATCCTGGCTCACACATTGTATTTGTCAAGTCTTTCATCTCTTTTAATCTGGAACATTTCTCAGTCTGACTTTGCCTTTCATAACAATGGCATTTTTTTAGAGGCCTGAGGCAATCATTTTTTGGAGTTCAAGTCTGGGTTTGTGTGTTATTTCTGTAAGATTAGTTTCGGGTTGGCATTTTGGGCAGGAAAGCCTCAGAAGCAACTCAACCTAATATTATTATCTCCTGGCAGTATGATTTTATATATAGAAAACCCAAGAGAATTAACTGAAACTTTCCTAGATTTATTTCATATAGGTGTTTATACCCAGGAATAAATTAATTTCCTTATTACATAAAGAGCTCTTATAAATTAATTTTTCAAAAACAGCTCAGTAGAAAAAATGGGCAAAGAATATAGACAGTCAATTAATAGAAATGTAAGGGGAAAAAAGTGCCCAACCTCACGCCTCAAAAAGAAATGCAAATTGAAACAATGTGGTACCACTTTGTGCCCATGAGTCTGGCAAAGATAAAAACAAACAAAAAAATCACAAAGTACCCTATGCTGGCACTGCTGTGGAGAAACAAATAATCCCACAGGGTGCTGGTGAGACTGCTCATTGGTACAGCCACTTGGAAGGGCAATTTTCTAGAACCTCTCAAAATTGAAAGTGCATGTATCCTTTGATCCATCAATTCCCCTTCTAGAAATTTTTCTATAACCATATTTACATGTGTACAAAATGATGGACCAGGGACTCCTGGCTGGCTCAGTCCGTAGAGCATGCAACTCTTGATCTGAAGGTGGCAAGTTCAAGATCCACGTGGGGGGCAGAGCCCACTTAAAACTAAATAAATAGGGGCATGTGGGTGGCTCAGTCAGTTAAGAGTCAAACTCTTGGTTTCAATTGAGGTCATGATCTCAGTGTCATGAGATTGAGCCCTGTGTGGAGCTCTGCACTCAGCAGAGTCTGCTTGTGCCTTTCTGCTCCTCCCCCTGCTCTCTCTCTAAAATAAATAAATAAAATTGTAAAAAAAAAAAAAAAAAAAAGATGGGGTGCCTGGGTGGCTCAGTTGGTTAAGCATCTGCTTTCACCTCAGGTCATGATCTCAGGGTCCTGGGATCAAGCCTCGCATTGGGCTCCCTGCTCAGTGGGGAGCCTGCTTCTCCCTCTCCCTCTGCTGCTCCCCCTGCTTGTGCTTTCTCTTGTTCTCTGTCAAATAAATAAATAAAATCTTAAAAAATAAAAAAAAGAAACAAAACAAAATAATGGACCGAATGCAATGCAGAACCCTGGGTTGGATCCTGGAACAGAAAAACACTTAGTGAGAAGATCACATAAAGTCCAGAGTATAATTAATTTCATGTACTACAGTAGTTTCTTAGTTTTGACAAGTGAGCCACAGTGTAAAAGAGCTTAACCATGGAAGAAGTTGGAGGAGGGCTATTCAGGGACTCTGGACTATCTCTGCAACTTTTCTGTAAATCTACAATTATTCCAAAATAAAAAGTTTACTTCTAAAAAAGAGGCAAAGGGTAAGGGGAGGGGAGAGAATGAGGACATTTATTATCACATCTTGATAATTACAAAAAATTGGAAACCACCTCAATGTCCTCCACTTGGGGACTGTTTCAGTGAGTGTCCATCTGTCCCTACGGTGGAAATTCCCATACGACTGTTAAAGGAGCCAAAGCAAATTCCTCTGAGAACATTAATGTAAAAAACAGGAAAGTGATAATTTGTGTGCATTTTCCAAAATGCAGGGATGGAAGAGACTTTTACCCAAATGTCTCTGAAGGAAACACTGGTCACAGCTGTGGCCTCTAGGGCAAGAACTAGGGGGCTGAGAGTGGGGAGGGGGGGTGCCGTTTCATGTTTGTATACCTTTTTGTAAAGTTTGCATTTAAAATCATGCACATGGGGGCGCCTGGGTGGCTCAGTCGTTAAGTGTCTGCCTTCGGCTCAGGTCATGATCCCAGCGTCCTGGGATCAAGCCCCGCATCGGGCTCCCTGCTCCGTGGGAAGCCTGCTTCTCCCTCTCCCTCTCCCTCTGCTTGTGTTCCTTCTCTCTCTGTCTCTCTGTCAAATAAATAAAAATTTAAAAATCTTTTAAAAAAATAAAATAAAATCATGCACATGTATTACCTTTAATTAAAATTTGTTTCTAAAAATTCCTAAGAAGCTGGTATTTGAGGGGGTGGAAACCCTTGGAACTCTTTCCCCCACCTCATCCAGTCCTGTTCATCATCCCCACTACCACCCCCGGGCTTGGAGGTACCAGATCAGGGCCTTTACCTGGGAGGACCTGAAGGGGGAACTGGAAGGCCAACTCCCAAGGAGGAAGTGAGGCTGAGGGGAGGAAGGTCTAACCGCTTAGTTCTGCTGACAGCCACCAGGGGTCGCCCCAACTTGCCCACCCCGTTGCCTCCGGCTAAGCGCTCACTCAGAGCTGGAGAGGTTAAGGGTGCGTCCGGAACCTCCCCCCACCCCCACCCCCAACTGTGGCATCAATCCAGAAGTGGGCAGGAAGTGGCTTCTCCTTCTGGAGTCAGCCAGAGCTGGAGACCAGGAGACTGACCTTGCTTTGTCTGACTTAAGACCCCTTCCCTGTGCGGCTGTGGGATCTAAGGGTACAAGGGCTGGGCTCAGGGTTGTAAATGGGACCTAAAACATATCATTATTATCCATGTACTCTGGTGGCTTCATCTTGGGCACACCACTGGACCCCTGAAAATCAGTTTCGGGGTTGGAGGGAAATAAGGAGCCAAGGCAGGTGTGTGAGCAGGAAGGGCACAGTTAGATCTGGTGTCAGAAAGAATTGGGAAGAAAGAGAGGGCACAGACTGAGGGCTTTGATCCCCCAGGGAGAGCATTGGACAGGTAGTAGGTGAGGATTGAGAGTGACCTACGGAGAACAAGCCCAGGCGCCCCACCCCCTCACCCCCCACCCTCCCCAGCCTCCCGTTTGCTCTGAGGCTCCCTCAGCTGCCCAGGGAAGTAAATAGCACTCCTTGGTGGGACGGCCTCCTGGACCGCACCTGCTCCCACCTCACAGGGCCAGCCTTTGGCCTGCCCTTATTCTGTTCTGCCTCCCACTCTCTATTACTCAAAGTCTCGTCTCTCTTTGTCACCACCCCTATCCCCAGCATACCCTCCTAGGTCCCTACCCTGGTTTCCCCTATCCTTGTCACCCTGGAGCCCCCATCCCATGGTTGCGGTGACAGTAGGAGGGACAGAAACGGGAAGTGTGGTGCAGGTGTAGACAGAGAGCACCTGGGACAGAGGCAGCCTGACCCTGCCAGGGCCCCCTATCCCAAGTAAGAAAGTGGTTTGCCTTTTAACAGGCAGCATCACGGAGGCCCAGAGAGGACAGACTGTTCCTCTCCAATAGGCTCTCTTTGCTTCCTCTGTCACCTCCCAAAACTCAAAACATAATTTCATTTTAATTTAACCTAAGTGGAGGGTTTTTTGGACTTCACTGAAATTTTTCTTCACCAGAAATATTACTTCCTTAAGGACCTTCCTAAAGTTCTGTGAGAGTTATTTTTTGTTTGTTTGTTTTCTTTTTAAGATTTTATTTATTTGGGGCGCCTGGGTGGCTCAGTCGGTTAAGCAGCTGCCTTCAGCTCAGGTCATGATCCTGAGCTTCACTTTGGGCTCCCTGCTCAGCAGGGAGTCTGCTTCTCCCTCTCCCTCGGCCCCTCCCTCCCTGCCCTGATTGTGCTCTCTTTCTCTCGCTCACTCAAATGGATAAATAAAATCTTTAAAAATAAAAAAAAAAGTTTAAAGATTTTATTTATTTATTTTAGATAGAGAGCACAAATGGGCGGGGGGGGGGCGGGCAGGGAGGAGGAGCAGAGGGAGAAGTAGGCTCTCTGCTCAGCAGGGAGCCCAAAGCAACGCAAGGCTCAATCCCAGGACCCTGAGATCATGACCTGAGCCAAAAGCTTAAGTGGACTGAGGCACCCAGGTGCCCCTCTGCGAGAGTTTTAAAAATCTTGTGTCTCCTTGAGAATTTCAGTGTCAGTTTTAGGTAGTGACACAAAGTTGACTTTCTCATAACACTTTCCACTTTCTCATAACACAAAACCAAATTGATTGTTTTTAATTTAGAAGACAAACAAACAAAAGTTTAAAATCAAAGCCTGATTTTGTGATGACCCTCCAAGGGAATTCAGAGGAGTTCATGTGCAAAATTTCCTGTGACCATGATAAATTGTTTTCAGGAAAAAACCAAATGCTCACATCAGGACCAATGCATTTGACCTCATGCGAATCCAAAGACTTGTCATTCACTTCCTCCCTTGGGGATTTTCTGGCCAGGGACACAGGCAAAATGTGTTCAGAAAGTCTGTTTTTAGAGATTTTAGACACTGCTGTCAGGACTGTCAATGGAAACAAATTGGTGACTAGCTGTCAAAATATAAGCTGTAACTGCTTTGAGACCCAACAGTTTCATTTGTGGGGATTTAATGTCAACTCTTATTTTGTTTCGTGAAACAAAAAATTTAGAAACAGTCTAAATGCCCATTGATAATTATTGTGGTAACGTATGTGGTGAAAACCTAAGCATCAGGCAAAAGGAATCAACAAATCTTAAAGACATAATGTTAAGCAAAAAGACAAAGTTTCATCATTACTTTTTCCATTTTAAAAAATCCAGCTAATAAACTATTCAAAAAAGAAACATTGCAAATCAAAGATAATGAGATCAAATTACCAAAAAGAGATAGAATGTTGTTTTTGAGCTTGATACAAACAACATGAGTGTGTATATTTAAAACTCTGCTTCTAGGGCACCTGGGTGGCTCAGTCCTTTAAGTGTCTGACTCTTGATTTCGGCTCAGGTCATGATCTCAGGGTCATGAGATTGAGCCCCACATGTAGAACCTGCTTAAGATTCTCTCTCTCCTTCTCCCTCTGCCCCTCCACCCTCCGACCCCTGCTCATGCAAATGAGCTCTCTCTCTCTCAAATTAATTAATTAAGTAGTTAATTAAAAAATAAGGGGCACCTGGGTGGCCCAGTCATTTAAGCTTCTGCCTTCCACTCAGGTCATGAATCTGAGGTCCTGGGATTGAGCCCCACGTTGGGCTCCCTGCTCAGCAGGGATTCTGCTTCTCCCTCTACCCCTTCTCCCACTCCTTCTTACTCTCTCTCTCTCTCTCTGAAATAAATAAAATCTTTAAAAATTTTAATTAAAAATAAAAAAATAGGGGCACCCAGGTGGCTCAGTCAGTTGAGCATCTGCCTTCAGCTCAGGCCATGAGCTCACACACTGGGCTCCCTACTCAGCAGGGAGTCTGCTTCTCCCTCTGCCTCTGTGTGCTCTCGCTCTCAAATAAATAAATAAATAAATCTCTTAAAAATAAATAATAAAAAAAATTAAACTGTTTCTTACACTGTGACAATTACTCAAAATTGTACTATCAGATCTAGAGTGGCTTTTTAATTATCTGGGAATTTATGGTTGCCTTTCTTTTTCCTTGACAACAGATGTCATGTTCATATATGCATATATGCAACACTTTCAGTATATCATGATAGATATTAAGTATATACCAAGACTGTCACACCTACTGGTGTTGGCCCAGGCACTGCCCCCATGTCTGTGCATGTCCACTGGACCCATCTTACCTAGGCTGTACCCCCATCGTGCTCTTTTCCACCCAGTGCTCCCACAGGCCCCAAGCACACTACTTGGAGGCAGTGTCCGTCCCCTGCATATCAATTTCTCATCCTGGCATCAGAGGCCATACATGATCCAGCCTCTCTTGCCTTAAAAAAAAAAAATACCCCCATTTATTAAGGCTGAGTGTGTGCCAGACACTGGGACAAGTGTTTCACAACTGGCTATGTTGCCTCCACTTTCGACAGAAGAAAACTGAGGCTTAAGGAAGGAAAATCGCTTGTCTGAGGTCACACAGTGGTAGGTGGCACAGCCAGAACTTAACTCCAGAGCCTAAGTTGAAACCATGTATTCATTCTGCCTACATGGCCCCCATTAACAAAGATGGAAGATGTCCTCCTCCCACCCTGCTCAGGAGACTCTGGGTGGGCCTGGCCAACCTAGAGAAATCGCTGGTTGGGCACCACTTGCAGCCCCCAACCCTCCTCCCCCCAACAGGCCTCTGGGAAGGGTCCGGAATCAGGAACCACCGGGTAGCTGCAAAGGCCAAAGGTCAGACAGGGGTTTCCTGCCTACCCCTGGGAACTTCCTCCTTCCCAACCCAACTTCTGCTTCTGTGATGAACACCCCCCTGGAGATACCCCTCCCCACTGTCAACTACCCCCCACTCCATTACCCTGGCTGATGGGGGGATGGGTCCCCATGCAGCAGCCTTCACCCTGCTGTGCCCCCCACGAGCAGTGTACAGTATTGGTGTTCTTGTCCAGCATCCTTCCCATCCACTGGCCCCTTTCCCCTCAGCTTCCATCCCTCCCTCCTACCAGCCTTCAGCCCATGGAGCTAGGGGTTGTGTCCCACTCTGTCTCCCTGAGACTAAGGGTCCCTTATGGCCAGGTCTAAGACTGACACCTCATCCAGCATGGAGGGTTTTCCTAGAGCTCCTGGTTCTGGGGGGATGGGCAGGAGGGCCCGCCCAGAATCCTTTGCTCCTTGGTCCCCAAATCCCCTTCATGCCCACCCCGGGGGTGACCGACAGTGAAGCTCAATCCCCACCTATCTGGCACTTCCCATTCACCACTTCACGGAGCCCCAAAATAACACTTCCAGCAGGAAATGATAGTAATAACAAAACAGCAAACCCTTTCTTACAGCCCCCCTCCCTGGCCCTGTCACCGGAACACCACGGATACCCATCTCACAGAAGGGGAAACTGAGAACAGACAGGAGAAGCCCCTCGCTTGAGCTCGCTTGGGTCGAGCCTGCTCTGCCAGCTCCAAGTTCACTGCTGCGTATGCTGCTCCCGGAGCACTTAAGCAGCGCCTGCGTGAGCAGGGCAGCGGGCGGGCTGACAGCTCAGGGAGCCTGGGCCACTGCCATCCATGCGTCAGCCCTCTGTGAAGCCCTGATGAGCACCTACTGTGTGCCTGGCTCTGGGCCAAGCACTCTGCCTGATTTAGCTCACGAGGCGGACACATCCATAGCTAGTCCACCAGGAGGGAAGCCCCGCTCTGTGAACTCACAGCGTGAGACCCGGCACGGTCCCTTTGCCTCCCTGTGCCTCAGTTTCCTCCTCCACACGACAGGGGCCAATGACAGGATAGTATGCAGCCAGTGGTTGAGAATAGCGCTTGGCACGGAGCAAGGGCAGGTGAGGAAACTGAGGCTCCGAGTGGCCGAAGAAGCCGCAGTCACCCAGCTGGGTGGGGCCCCACCCAGTGAATATCAGAAACCCAGCAGTGCCGCGGTCCCTCCCTTCATAGCCAAGGTGGGAGTATTGTGATAACCCACAGCCCCCATTTCCTCCCGGTCAGGAAGGAGCCAGGCAGAGGAAGTATTAAGAGGAGTAATATAAACACTCCCCCCCCCCCCCGCCCCTGCTCCGTGGCAGGGTGAGCAGAAGGGACTGCAGCCGCCACCCAGAGCAGGCCGACCAGCTGAGCAGGGCTGCGGGCCCCCCGGGGCAGAGATGGGCCTGGCAATGGAGCACGGGGGTGCCTACTCGCGGGCAGGGGGCAGCCCGAGGGGCTGCTGGTACTACCTGCGCTACTTTTTCCTCTTTGTGTCGCTCATCCAGTTCCTCATCATCCTGGGCCTTGTCCTCTTCATGGTCTACGGCAACGTGCACGTGAGCACAGAGTCCAACCTGCAGGCCACCGAGCGCCGGGCCGAGGGCCTGTACAGCCAGGTCGTGGGGCTCACGGCCTCCCAGGCCAACCTGTCCAAGGAGCTCAACCTCACCTCCCGCGCCAAGGACACCATCATGCAGTTGCTGCTGAGTACCCGCCGTGACCTGGACCGGATCAATGCCAGCTTCCGCCAGTGCCAGGCTGACCGGGTAAGGCCTCGGGCCAGACGCTCACCCTGGGCACTCTGGGCAGGTCCCCTCACCAACCTGAGCTCCAGTCCTCTTGCCTGGGAGCCAGAGACAGTCGTAGACTCTCTATTTCATGTGAGGAGCCCATGTGGTTAAGCAATGCCTAGTTTGTTGGTACAAGTATATCCCATACGATATTGGGGATACGCTTATCCTAAAAGAATGTATTCACTATCTATCCGGAACTTAAGTTTAACTGGGCATCCTGGCTGTGGATTGGCAGCACCCCTGGGCCCATGACTTAATATGTATAAAGCACTCAGAATGTGCCAGCACATACCAGCTATGAATAAGAACTAGCTAAACAGAAACTCAGCGCCTTTGGTTCTTACTCTATGAACAGCTCCCATTTGCCTTATGCTGGGTGTCTGCTTTAGAAATATCTCATCATTGAATCCCTTGAGGTAAGGAGAAGCTCCAAACCCTTTTGTGGATGGGGAAGTGAAAGCCTGAGTTGGGGGAGGCAGCTTTCTCCTGGGGGACAGAGACAGGCATCCCCCTGTCCAGAGGCATTCCCTCTGGACAGGGAAGAGTCCCCGCGGCACACATGGGCATCTAGTGGAGACAGCCACCCATTTGCTCCCCCAGCTCATGTCATACTCACTCGGCAAGACAATCTCCCATGTTCTCACATGTGTGCTTCCTCTGGGAAGGCCTCACTGCTGGGACCGCATTCCTTGGGCCTCAGCAGGAGGTGAGAGATGGGAGATGCTCCCCCTGTTTGTGCTCTCTCTCGCTCTCTCTCTCTGCCAAATAAATAAATAAAATCTTTAAAAGAAATGCAGCTTTATGGAGATATAATTCATATGCTCTACAGCTCACCCAATTAAAAGTGTACAGTTCAATAATTTTTAGCACCTTCACAGAGTTGTGCAATCATCACAATTGATTTTAGAGCATTTCATCACTCTGGAAAAGAAACCCCAACCCCATGAGCAGTCACTCTCCCTATCCCCCCCATCCCCCAGCCCCTGGCAACCACTGCTTTCTGTCTCTATGAATTTGCCTGTTCTAGACATTTCATATAAGTGGGATCCTGCAACAGGTGTCCTTTTGTGTCTGGCTTCTATCATTCAGCATGATGTTTTGAAGGTTCACCCTTGTTGTAACATGTCAGGGGTCTGTTCCTTTTTATGGCCGAGTAATATTCCATTCTGTGGATGGACCTCATTTTGTCCATTCACCCGTGGATGGACCCTTGGGTTGTTTCCACCTTTTGGTGATTGTGACTAGGGCTGCTATAAACATGCATGCAAAAGTTTTGTGTGAACCTATGCTTCAGTTTCTCTCGTCTATACCCAAGAGTGGAATTGCTGGGTCACATGGTAATTCTATGTGTGACATTTTGAGAAACTGCCAGACTGTTTTCCAAAGTGGCTGCCCCATTTTATATTCCTACCAGTACTGTCTGGAACTTCTCATTTCTCTACTTCCTCACCAATGCTTGTTACTCTCTGCTCTTGTTTTCCATTTCATTTATAACCATCCTAATGTTCGGAAGGTGGTATCTCCCGGTGGTTTTAATTTGCATTTCCCTGATGAGTAATGATGGTGAATATTTTTTGATGTGTTTGTTGACTGTGTGTATATCTTCTTTGAAGAAATGTTTCAGATGCTTTGCCCTTTTTTCAATTAAGTTATCTTTTTATTATTGATCCATAAGAGTTTACTTTTATATATTCTGGATACTAGTCCTATCATCAGATACATTCTTTGCAAATATTTTCTCCCATCTATGGGTTGTTTTTTCCCTGCCTCTATTTTTTTTGTAATTGAAATATAGTTGACACACTGACTCACATCAGTTTCAGTTGTACGACATAGTGATTCAACAGTCTTTTCCCTTCCTAGAATCCTTTAAAGCACAAAAGTTTTTAATTTATCTGTTTTTCTCTTTGTGCTTTTGGTATCACATCTAAGAAACCATTGCCGGGAGGGGTGGCACCTGCTCAGCAGGGAGTCTTCTTCTCCCTCTCCCTCTGCCCCTTCCCACTGCTCTGTGCTCTCTCTCTCTCTCTCCCAAATAAGTGAATAAAATCTTAAAAAAGAAAAAGAAAGAAAGAAAAAGAAAGAAAGAAAGAAAGAAAGAAAGAGAAAGAAAAAGAAAAAGGAAGGAAGGAAGGAAGAAAGAAAAAAGAAAGAAAGAAAGAAAGAAAGAAAGAAAGAAAGAAAGAAAGAAAGAAAGAAAGAAAGAAAGAAAGAAAGAAACCATTGCCAAATTCAAGGTCATGCAGAGTTAATACCTATGTTTTCTTCTAAAGAGTTTTATAGTTTTAGTTCTTATATTTGGGTCATTGAGCCATTTTGAGTTAATTTTTGTATATGGTGTGAGGTAGGGTCCAAATTCATTCCTTAACATGTGGAGATCCAGCTATGCCAGCACCATTTGTTGAAAAGACTCTTTTTTCCCCATGGAATGATTTTGCCACCTCTATTAATTTTCCAGGGCTGCCTTATTAACAAAGTACCACAAATTAGGTAGCTTAAACAATAGAAATTTATTTTTGCACATATGTGAGGTCAAGATGCAAGTTCCTCTGGAGTGTTAGGAGAGAGGAATCTGTTCCAGGCCTCTCTCCTTGCCTTGTAGATCTTCTCACTGTGTCTTCACATCATCTTCCCTCTGTGCACTTCTGGGTGTCCAGATGTCCTCTTATAAGGACACCAGTCCTTATATTGGATTAGGGCCCACCCTAATAACCTCATGTTAACTTAATCACATCTTTGAAGATGCTATCTCCAAATACAGTCACGTTCTGAGGTACTGGGGGTTAGGACTTCCATTTATAAATGGGGGGGGCACAATTCAGTTCCTGACAGCATCCTCAACAAAAAGTAGTTGGCCAGGGCACCTGAGTGGCTCAGTCGGTTAAGCATCTGCCTTCAGCTCAGGTCATGATCCCAGGGTCTTGGGATCGAGCCCCACATCGGACTCCTTGCTCAGTGGAGAGCCTGCTTCTCCCTCTCCCTCTGCCCTTCCCCCTGCTTGTGCCCTCTCTCTCTTTCTGTCAAATAAATAAATAAAATCTTAAAAAAAAAAAAGAATTGGCCATAAATGTGAATTAATGTTTTCAAGGTTCATTCGAATTATAGCATGTATCCGTGCTTCATCCTTTTTTATTGCCAAATAGTATTTTTTTAAAGATTTTATTTATTTTTATTTGAGAGAGAGAGAATGAGAGAGAGGGAGTACATGAGAGGTGGGAGGGTCAGAGGGAGAAGCAGACTCCCTGCCGAGCAGGGAGCCCGATGCAGGACTCAATCCCGGGACTCCAGGATCATGACCTGAGCCGAAGGCAGTCGCTTAACCAACTGAGCCACCCAGGCGCCCTTTATTGTCAAATAGTATTAACCGTAACAACTTTTAAGGATCCATCCAGCATCCCCTCTATAGGAGCCATGCCCTTGTGAACTGGGCCAACCCAGGTCACCCGGGTATGGAATCTGGGGCCCCAAGCCCAGAGCGTCTGGGCAAACCAGGAGCAAGGGGACCCACGGGGGTTGGACTGTGAGCTCTGTCCTGTGTCCTGTCCGGTTAGGTGAGCTACATGAACAACCAGCAGTACATGGCGGCCATCATCTTGAGCGAGAAGCAATGCCAAGAACAACTCAAGGGGACTAACAAGAGCTGCAATGGTGAGTGGTCGGGGCAGTGGGGAGCCAGGGTGGTAGACTCCCTGCCCAGTCTCTTGGCAACCCCCAACCTTCCTGAGATGTATTATCGTGTCCCTGTAGCCTTGCTCCTCATGCTGAACCAGAAGGCCAAGATGCTGGAGATGGAGGTGGCAAAGGAGAAGGAAGTGTGCACCAGAGACAAGGAGGGGCTGGTGCTGAACAAGCGAGTGGTGGAGGAGCAGCTGATGGAGTGCAGCAAGGCCCGGGAGCAGCTGCTGCAGGAGCGACAGCTGGCTGAGGACCGCCTGCAGAAGGTGCAGGCCCTCTGCCTCCCGCTGGACAAGGACAAGTTTGAGACGGAGCTGCGCAGCCTCTGGAGGGACTCCATTGTCCCACGCACCCTGGACACGATGGGCTATAATCTGTACCATCCTCTAGGCGTGGACTTACCCTCCATCCGAAGAATCTGCGACCACATGCCCACCCTCATGGCCACCAAGGTGGAGGAGCTAGCCCGGAGCCTGCGGGCCGGCATAGAGCGCGTGGCCCGCGAGAACTCGGACATCCAGCGCCAGAAGCTAGAGGTCGAGAAGGGCCTGCGGGCCAGTCAGGAGGCCAAGGAGAAGGTGGAGAAGGAGGCCCAGGCCCGGGAGGCCAAGCTCCAGTCCGAATGCGCCCGGCAGACACAGCTAGCCCTGGAGGAGAAGGCAGCACTGCGGAAGGAGCGAGACAGCCTGGCGAAGGAGCTGGAGGAGAAGAAGCGGGAGGCAGAGCAGCTCAAAATGCAACTGGCCGTCAGCAACTCTGCCCTGGACACCTGCATCAAGGCCAAGGTGGGCTAGAGGGCCCTGGATTCAGGTTGCATTGGGGTCCGGTCTGGGGGCCATGTTGGTGGTGATGTCTAATGGGTTTGAGGTGAGCTTCCCAGTCTGGGTCTGGTTAGTTAACTCACTTGAGAGTGTCACTGACATAGGATTGGGGTGGAGTTTGGAAGGACATGGAGAAAGGATTAAGGATTGGGATTGAGTTTAGGGTGGCTGGTGGGCCTCAAAATTGGTTCAGGGTGGGACGCCTGGGGGCTCAGTCGGTTAGGCGTCTGCCTTCGGCTCAGGTCATGATCCCGAGGTCCTGGGATCGAGTCCCGCGTCGGGCTCCTTGCTCAGCGGGGAGCCTGCTTCTCCCTCTGCCTACCACTCCCCCTGCTTGTGCTCCCTCTCTCTCTCTCTGACAAATAAATAAATAAAATCTTTACCAAAAAAAAAAAATGGGTTCAGTGTGAGGACGGAGGATTCCTGGAGGGTTGGTGTCAGGGATGGGATGTGTCTGAGTTGAAGGATCAGGGGCCATGGGTGGGGTTGGCAGTTAGACTGAAGTTTAAGGCTAGAGGAAGGCTTGATGTGGAGCAGAGCTTGTGTTTGGGTTAAAGTGAGTTCTTAGTGACCGCTGTGTTTAGAGTTGGTTTGAGTTAAAGTTAGGGTTCCATCAAAGATTACATTAGTCTTAGAATTGGGGTTGTGCTGAGTTTGGATTGTGGGGAGAGGTTGAAAGTTAGGTCAGGGGTCACATGCAGGGCAGCCTGGCAAGTCTAGCACTGGGTGTAAGATGTCAGTGGCTTGGATTCGGTTGCATGGAGGCACCAATCCTGGAGTTGAAGCTCAGGTGAGTGTAGGTGGCTGGTGGGTCTAGAGATGATTAGAGGTTTGGGGCCAAGGGTAGACTTAGGATTTCATGGGCATTAGGATTGGGATTGTTGTTGACCGTGGGTTAGGAGTTGAAATTGGTTTGGGTTTAGGATGGTTGACTGAAGGTTGAATTGGGTTGGCATCGGGATATATTTGAAATGAAAGATTGGGTGACCCTGAGTTAGGGTAGGGAGACCTGGGGAGGGGTGAGGGTCAGGGCTGGGTGCAGAGTAGAAACTGCACAGATGCTAATCTTGGGGTACAATTCTTCCATTTGAGGTAGAGGCTAGGGTTTAAGGTTGAGTTGGGCTGAGTGTGTATTGGGAAAAAGTTTATGGGTGGCGGTGGTGGAGACCAGGGCTGGGCTGGGGGGAGGGGGTTGGGGGTGGATTTTTCATAGCAGCCAGGTCTAAGGAATGGGTTGGGATCAGAGTTAAATGTAAAGTTATGGTCAGATCAGGTTTGTCATTAGGATTGGGTTTAGGTCAGGGTTTGATTCTAAGGAAAGTTCTGTTTTCATGTTGGGATTGGATTTTAGGTGATTGAGTTTAGAACTGGCTTTGGATTTCAGGCTCAGGGTTGTTGGAGGGAAGGCAGTGGATTTACAGAGTGGGTCGGCTTCAGCCCAGAGTGGGGCCAGGTTCGGTGTTGGGTGGATGGACTCACTTGGGGTCATGGATTGGGATCGGGTTGGAACTAAGATTGTAGGGGAGACTGAGGTAGGCCACTGCAGGGTCTCTGGGGGGGCTTCCAAGGAAAGCCAGTCCTTGGAGTCCCCAGTTCTTTGAGGGCAGGTGCGTGCAGGTGATTGTACATCCATTAATGTGGGTTATTTCCCCGATATGTTTCCTCGCCCTGGAAGGAACTCAGACCCAGGTATCCAAGGACGTGGAGGAGCAGGAACCTCCCTGGCACTCTGGTTCAGGGGCCCTGGCTTCTGTCAACCTCCCTCCATCTTTCTTCCCACAGTCGCAGCCGATGCCTATACCAAGACCTGTGGGTCCTGTCCCCAACCCCCAGCCCATCGGTGAGTGACAGAAAACAGGGCCAGGAAGGGGTCCGGGGATTGTCTTTCTACTTCTTATCCCACCTCAGCCCTGCTATTGGGGCTGCCAGCCCACCCCTAGCCCAAGGTTGGGGCAGCTGGTTGGAGCTGACCCCTCCCTCTTGCCACAGACCCAGCTGGCCTGGAGGAGTTCAAGAGAAGGATCCTGGAGTCCCAGAGGCCCCCTGCAGGCAATGCTATAGCTCCACCCAGGTAAGGCACTGGGCAGACTGAGATGGTTCAGTCTCAGGGCTTCAGAGGAGGCTGGGAACAGGACTAGGAGTGGAGGGAGGCTCATCTCACACTTGCTGCTTCCTTAATTGAGTGCCTGCTGTAAACCAGGCCCTATGCTGGGTCCTGGGGACCCAGTAGTGACCAAGACCCATGCAGGTCCGTTCATGAAATTCCCTGAGTAGGGGGTGAGAGAAACAATGAAGGAACCATGAAAAGAAAGACCAAGAGCCTACAGTTACTAGGTGCTTACTGTGAATTCAGCACGGTTGCAAGCACTTTGCAAGATCAACTCACTGAATCCTCACAACCCTTATCAGTGGGCAAGCCACTGTCATCACCCGCCACTTTCCAGACCAGGAAAGTGAGGCACAGCGAAGGCGTGCACTGTGCTCCAGGTAACACAGCTGGGGAGTGGCAGAGATGGGGCCTCGAACCCAGGCTCTTGGACTCCAGGCTTCCGTGCAAGAGAGGGCTTCCATGAGGAGGAGGCCTTTGAGCTGGAGGATGGGATTGAGCTGGTCTGGGAAAGGGCAGAAGGTACAGAGCTCCAGGTGACAAGAAGAGCCAGAGTATAGGCTCAGAGGCCAGACTGGGGTGGGATGTGGGGTGGATGGAACTGGGGAAGGGAGGAGGGAGAGCAAAGGTGGAGCCCCTGGACCTCTACCCCCACCCCTCTGAGCCTCTTTTTCTAACCTCTACAAAAACGGAGGTCTCTGAAATCAAGGGCATGGAAACTCTGCTAACAGTAAAGTGCTGTCCACAAGTGCCTAAAGCAAGGGGCTGGGGGTTGCAGCAGGCGCATCAAGGCACCCCTGTGCACACTCAGGTCAGGGCTCCGTGTCTGTACCCCGCCCCCACCCCCGCCACCTCCCAGAGTACAGCCTGTGCATCACAGGGAAGGTGACTCAGGCCATTGCTCCGAGAACATCCTGTTCTCCCTCCCAGGTGGTGGCTCCGCTCCCCGTTCAGGACCACATCGCTGACCAAGGAGTCTGGGATGGGCATTGCCATTTGCAGTTTAGGACCCGGGGCTCCGGGAGACACCGGGGATTTTAAGTCAGATTCCGCTGACCCCACGCCTGTGCCTCCCATGGGCTCTGCCAGCAAGACTGTGGTCAACCTGGTCTCTTTCAGCCTCGGGGTCTATTTCAGCCTGGGGACAAATAGACTTCCAGAGGGCTGTCTTCAAATCCCAGGGGGTCCTCCACATCCAGCTCCATTTCCTCTATGGCTCCTCTTACATAGCCCCTCTGACGGGGAGCTTACCTTCTCCCAGAACTTGTCCCTTCTCCTCTGGATGGCTCTGTCTGGGAGAAATCGCTTAGCCTCAAGCAGCCCCCCGAGAGGGAAGCAAGAGGGTGGAGAGAAGACCCTGCTCCAAGCAAACAGTTTTCCTCTCTCTATCTTGGCCCAAAGCCATCATGGCAAGGAAGGAGGTTCTATTATTATCCCCACTTTTCAGAGGAGGAAACTGAGGCCCCAGGGAAGTGACCAACCTGGGGTCATGCGTCAGTGAGTCAGGGCCAGAGCCAGGCTCCCAGCCCAGACCCGTCCCAGCTGAGAAAGGGAAGCTCTTGACATTGTTTACCCCCAAGACATCCCTCTACAGAGAAAACAATGAGTACTTAAGGCAGGGCCCCTCCCGCTGCCGGGTCTCAGGAAGGGGCTCTGGCTCTCTGAGCTCCAGCCTTGATTCACCTTCCCCCTGAGAAAGGGGCCATCAGCTCTGGCTTGGAGTCCCAGCGAGGCCAGCCCCTTGGTGGGCTAGCCTAGGCAAACCGTAGACTGTGGTGTCACCAACCACATGGGAATTTTAGATGCCTCCGATCAGGGGCCAGGGCCAAGGTCCAGCATCAAATCACTCAGCCCCCCCCCGATCGGGAGAGTCTCTTCCTTCTCCACTCTTATTCCTTCTGGGCCTTCACAAAGTCTCCACGGTGCTAACACACTCCCACTTGCAGCTCTCCCTGAGATCCCAAAGCCAGGGTCAACCCCCAGCCCAGCATCAGCTGCGATCCCAAAGCCAAGGCCAACCCCCAGCCCAGCATCAGCTGCGATCCCAAAGCCAGGGCCAACCCCCAGCCCAGCATCAGCTGGATGGAAACACAACATCCTGCTTTTTCTGTGGACATTTTCAAGTCATTTTCTCTTGATGGCAAGTGCACTAGTTTTCCTTTTTATCTGATAAGACTGTGTCCTTTGGGTATCCATTTATTTAAGTTAAACACACACGCACAATTGATGTGAAGACAAATAAGGAAATATTGGTTTCAGGGGAAGGTGGCTGGATAAGACAAAAGTTGTGATGCAGTTTTGGAATATAGGTGAGGTTGGGGGGCGGTGAGGTCCTGAGCCGACGGCCAAGAAAGAATTCTTGAGACGTCTTTGGTGCACAATGGTGGTTTTATTAAAACACAGGGACAGGACCCGTGGGCAGAGCGAGCTACTGCACCGGGGTGGTGAGGGGTGGCTGATTATATACTTGGGAGTTGGGGGAGGTCAGGAAAAGGGAGGTTTCAAAAGGATTTTCATAAGCTAAAGAAGACCCTCAGGATCCTGGAGGCCTGGCTATTATCAGGCTAAGATCGGTGTTCCCTCTGGCAAAGCATTAACATTAAGAGAGTTGGGAGCTTCCTGGAAGAAGGTCCCACAGATCCCACCCAGGAGTTGGGGGCCAGGGGGAGGTTGCAGGGTGTCAGCTGGTGCTTTGTCCTCAGCTAGCCTTCTGCTCCCTCAGCAGTGGCAATGTGGAAGGTTGAAGATGGGCAATCCGGCCCTGGCTCTGAGCCAGACACACAGCGAGTCTCATTCAAGTTCATTGCCATCACAATTGTGATTCGGTTCGTTTACTCAACCCATGTGTCTTGAGCAGCTGCTGGGGGTTGAGGACACGAGGAGGAATAGGCAGAGAAGCCGGCGCCCTTGTGGGGCTCCCAGTCTAGTGGGGCAGACAGATGCTAAACCAGATGCGTGAGCCCCTTGGCGGTGGGCGAGGCAGAAAAGGGATGAGGCAGTGCAAGGTTAAAATTTTCCACAGGAGGGGCGCCTGGGTGGCTCAGTCGTTAAGCGTCTGCCTTCGGCTCAGGTCCTGATCCCAGGGTCCTGGGGTCGAGCCCTGCATCGGGCTCCCTGCTCCGTGGAGAGCCTGCTTCTCCCTCTCCCACTCCCCCTGCTTGTGTTCCCTCTCTCACTGTGTCTCTCTCTGTCAAATAAATAAATAAAATCTTTAAAAAAAAAATTTTTTCCACAGGAGACCAGGCAGGCTTCTCTGCCCTGCATGAGGTTGATGCTGGGGCAGAGAACTGGAGGAGGTGAGGGAAGAGCCGTGGGGGTGGGGTGTCCCTGGAGGGTGTACCAGGCAGAGAGCACAGCCCATGCCAAGGCCCTGAGACAGGACCAGGCCTGGTGAGGAGGCTGGTGCAGCTCGGGCAGAGCAATCCGGGGGGTGAGTAGGAAGTGAAGGGGGCACGGGGGGTGCAGGTCAGGTAGGGCCTGTGGCTGCAGTGAGAACTTCGGGAGCTTTGGGACAGCGTGAGCAGGATAGGACATGACTGGCCTCAGGTGTTCAGGGGCACCCTCTAGTCGCTGTTGGGGGGTGAAGGTGGCAGCCAAAGACCAGGGCAAAGGCACCTGCGCTGGTCCAGGCGTGTGATGTTGGGGGCTTAGGAGCCTCGGTCTCTGAGATATGGCCAGGGACCACCCCCCTTGAAGGCTGGTGAGCAGGAGTGGGTGAAGAATGTAGGCCAGGGCTGGCCAGGAGCCGTGAATCCCGGTCAGGCTGGAGCCGGAGGGGGGGGAGCGGGGGGGGCAGAGCCAGCCAAGGAACGTGAAGCTGCTCGGCCCCAGGGAAGAGCCAGGGAAGGAAGGGAGTGGGCCAGCGGAAGCAGGACTTGGCTGAGGCCCCCTCCTCCCCGACCAGGAAACAGCCTCTGAGCCAACCCCTGACCCCTCACGAGAACCTCTGTTAGGCCAAGGAGGGGGAAGGGCAGTCCAGACAGCAGGATGGCTCCTGCAAAGGCAGGGGGGAGGGGTGCAGTGAAGCGATACCTCCTGAAATTTTGAAGGACTTTGGCAGGGTTTGAGTTTCTGATGAGGAGGACTGGTAGGGACAGAGAGGGTGGAGCCTTGAATGCCGGGTAGAAAGGATCTGGCTTTGTGGGCAGGGCACTGGGGAGCCAAGGAGAGTGTGTGAGGAGGGGCAGGCTCCTGGGAAAAACCCTCCTGAGAATGGGTGAGGGGCTAGCCCCAGGGGCAGTTCTGTGGAGACAAAGGCCCTTTCGGAGGGGTGGGGGATACGACAGGGGCCTTGGGGCAAACTCCCAGGATCCCCAGGGCCCTGGAGACCCCAGGTAAAAGGCTGCTGCAGAGGCCTGGAGCACAGAAGGTGGCCTCTCTGACCACTGTCTCTTTATCTGTAGACTGAGGAGGCCCACGTCCCAGTCCCACCCTCAACAAGTAGGAGTCTAATGGGAAGGCTGAACCCCAAAAGAGCCGAAGAGTCCTTGGAGGCAAGAAGGAGCCTGGGGTTGGGGGGCAGCAGGCCCAGGCAAGGTTTGTCCTTCCATCTGTCTGACTATTGTATTACCATGTCCTTCCTGCCCTAGCGGCTGAGGAGGCTCCAGGCCCTGAGGACCCAGGTGTGGCCCCGCCTGGCCGGTCTGCGGACGCACAGCAGCAAGATGCCCACGCGCAGCCTGCAGCCAGGGCCTCGGCCGGCCGAACGCCCGCGCACACGCCAGAGCGGCTGCCCTTGGCCTCCACCCCACGCCCGTCCCTCCCCACACCCCGCGACGCCCTCTGATACTCTCACAGCCCCTCGCCAACAGACACAGCAGTGATGTCCCATCTGGATGCAGTGACGTCACACACACACCTTCTGCCCAGCCCTTGCCCCATGTCGCCCCCTTCCCAGGCGCTCACAGCATCCCCCCATCTGCACACCCCCATGCTCCCGCCACAGCACCCTCCGATTTTCTCGTCTTCCGACTCCTCACCCCCAGTGTGCGGGGCCTAGGGGAAGTGGGGACGGGAAGCCATTAGCCTCCACTCCCCCGCACCCCCCCACCCCTGCGGGAGAGTCTCCAGGCTCCCCTGCCAGGCCGCACCCGGACCCAGAGCAAATGTCCCCCCCTGACCCCATCAAAGCCCGCGACCCCGCGACGGCAGCTGCCCCTTGTCCCTCTCCCCCCACACCCAGCCCTGCCTGTGGCCCATATAAATGTTAGTGGCACTAAATAAATATCGAATCCTTTCCACGACTCCAGAGTGATTTTTACTTTGAAAAGGCACCTCCTAGCCATGCCTGAGAAAAGACCCCGCAAGCTAGGATCCCTCCCCCTGTCCCCAGGCTGTCCCCAGTCCAGAAGAGTCTGGGGCGACACCAGCTTCCCTCAAAGCCCTGAAACTGCTTTTTAAATACCTGCTGTTCGGGGTGCCTGGGTGGCTCAGTTGTTAAGCGTCAGGGGCCTGCTTCTCCCTCTCCCTCTGCTTGCCACTCCCCCTGCTTATTCTCTCTCTTTCTCTCTCTACCACCACCCCCATTAAAAAAATAAATAAAATCTTAAAAAACAAAACACAGTTTCTTAAAAAACAGGTTATCCATCTGTGACTTTCATCTTCCTAAGATTTGCGAAGATTTCCCCCCAGGTACTGAGGCAGGACAGCTAACCCTCTCCAGAGTGGCTCCAGGAACAGTGTCACTAAAGTCTCAGGCCATTTGTTTTGTCTTGTTTTGTTTTGTGGCAAGATGGGATGCCAGAAAGGGCACCAGGGTCCAGTGGGAGTGCTTTAACACACTAATCACTAAATTCGTGGGGAAAACAGGAAAAAGTGCATTAGAGGAATACAGGGAAATCTCATTGTACCCAGTAGACTGGAAAAAAAAAAAGTTTAAAAAGCCATAATACCTACTGCTGGTGAAGATGTAGAGAAAGCGCATTTTTCTACAGGACTAGTAGAAATGCAAATCTCATCGTGGCCCTCTGGAAATTAGTTTGGTGATATTTCATTAAAGTAAAGATGTACAAACCCTTTGGCTCAGCAACCCCATTTCTGGGAAACAAAAACTCCAGGAAACAAAGTGGATGGCCATCAGTAGAAAAACGGCCTAAAAATTGTGGTCTAGAATCTCAGCTCAGAATGTCATTTGCTTCCTCCACCCCCCACCTCCACCCCCCATCTTCCCCACTGCCCCAGCCTGGATTCCCTCCCAGACCATTCTCCCGGGACCCTAGACGGGGAGGGGATGAGTCACAAGGAGCCAGGGCTGGCAACGCCACGCTTAAGGCAGGCTAGTCAGGAGGGACAAAGGAGCGATATTTCCTGGATACGGAAACCGGGGTGAGAGACGCCTGCTGCAGGAAACACTCGGCTGGGGCCCCGCCAAGCCAGGGCAGAGGGGTCAGCCAGGCCAGGCCGCCCAGACAGGACAGTCTGGAGGCCCCAAGGAAGCGAAGACGTCCCTGACCCTCAGCCTACTGCCTGAGAAGCTGGAGACTTGGAGAGAATGATGACACCAGCCAGTCCCAGCAACCACAGGATGTCTGAGTTTTGGGTTCTGGAGCCAGACATCCCTGAATCCAAATCTTGACTCATTCGGTCTCAGCCTCCATTTTCTCATCTGAGAAATAATCGTTCTAAACTTTCTGGACACATGGGCACGGGTCTGACTTTTTGTTGGTCTCTCCCATCCAGAGTGTCCCAGGATATCATCCCTCCAGCTGGCCCCCACACCCGGCCCTGCTGGTCCAGAGAGATTTTTCCATCATGGGATCTGACCATGTCCCTCTCTGGCTCACACACCCTCCATGGCTCCCCATTACCCTGGGAACAAAGTCCAGTTCCTCAGCTCTGTTGTGTCCCCCTGCCCCCCGCCGCTGCCACCCCCACTTCCAGTGCAGCTCTTGCCTCCAGCTGCCCTGGACCTTTCATTCTCTGGCTAAAGACTATCTCTTAATTTGTGCTCTCAGACTAGAATGCCTTTTTCTTCTCCCTCCAAGTCCTGCCCCCAGATATCCCTCCTCCAGGCAGCCCTCTTGATTGCCCCAGGTATTGTCCTTGCTGCCTCTGGGGCAATCCTCAGCTCCATCCCTCCCTTTATGCAGACCTGACCATGTAGTTCTGACTCCCCCAAGTTAGTGGCTCCCCCGGGGGGCAAGGCAGGGACTGGGTACTTGTCAGGGAGCAATTGGCAGACCACCTCCCTGACCTTGTGGCCCAGCCACTGGGTGAGGTTCTAACTCTTTAGGGATTTCCTGTGACCTCTATAAATAACCCCCATGGCTGCTTCCCACAAACCACCTCACCCTTCTTGGAAAAAAGGGACTGTAGCCAAGGACCTCAGTCCAGCTGTGTGCCAGGGCCCGGGGGAGGCGGGTGGGGCCTAAGCATCCTGCCCCAAGAGTGTCTCTCTCCCCACCCAGACCCTGCTCACCCCTCCTGGGAGCCCTCTGAACCCTCCTGATGTGGAGGACATCTGGACACACAGCCCCGCTAAACCTATGGTATTGCTTCTCTCCTCTGGGCCTGCTTGTATTCCCGAAAAATAGACATAATAGCAATATTCGTGGGCTCAGCTCACTGAGTGACCCTTTCCCTCCCGGAGCTCCCCATGTTGGGACAGCCCTTGCTACTAAACAAGCAAACAAATCAATAGTGACATATTGCAATGAAGTCTGTGAAGACACAGGGTCAGGGGCCCCCTTTGGTTGGGTGGTGGGGGAATTCTTCTGAAAACTCTCTTCATACCCTTTGTTGGCCCTGGCTACCTCCCAGCCTCTGCTCACCAGTGCCCTAAAACCTGAGAGCTTGTATGTTCGATCACTGGAAGTAGGACTCTTTTTCTGATTCTGGAAGGGATCCTGACCCTATTTAAGACTGTTTTTCTGCCTGTGGCAAGGGATTAACCGTTCACCTGCTGCCAGGTGGGCGTGGAAGCCTGGATCCCAGGGTCCTTAGAGGGCGAGAGGGTTGATGGGGGCTTCCAGGACCTTCTTTTGTTAGAGGAGGGCGCCCTCTGCTGGCTCGTCACCAACATATCAGGCCCCTGTGAGTCTCAGAATCCAAGGCCTCACCACTAATTCAAAGGCACACATTCACCCCTATGTTCACAGCAGTATTATCTACAGTAGTCAAATCATGGAAGCAGCCCAAATGCCCGTCAGCAGACGAACGAAGAAGATGTGGTATATATACACAATAGAATATTATTCAGCCACAAAAAGAATGAAATCTTGTCATTTTTGCAATGACATGGATGGAGCTAGAGGGTATTATGCTAAGCAAAATAAGTCAGTCAGAGAAAGACAAATACCATATGATTTCACTCATATGTGGAATTTAAGAAACAAAACAAATGAGCAAAGGAAAAAAGAGAGAGAGAGAAACCAAGAAACAGACTCTTTTTTTTTTTAAGATTTTATTTATTTGTCAGAGAGAGAGAGCACAAGCAGGTGGAGGGGCAGAGGGAGAGGGAGAAGCAGACTCCCTGCTGAGCAAGGAACCCAATGCGGGACTCGATCCCAGGACCCCGGAATCATGACCTGAGCCGAAGGCAGTCGCTAAACCAACACACCCAGGCGTCCCCAAGAAACAGACTCAACTATAGAGAACAAACTGCTGGTTACCGGAGGGGAGGTGGGTGGGGGGATGGGTGAACCACGTGATGGGGATTAAGGGGTGCACTTGTCATGATGAGCACTGAGTAATGTATAGAAGTGTTGAATCACTATTTTGTGCATCTGAAACTATTATAACACTGTATGTTAACTATACTGGAATTAAAATAAAAAACTTAATGAAAGAAAGTGTCAAAAAAAAGAAAAAGTATCAAAGTCCTATCAGTCAGACCCTCCCTCTCTTCCTCCAGCCATCTCCCTCCTCTCTCCCCCTCACTCACTGCTTCAGCCCTACCAACCACATCCCTGTTCCTTGAACACACCATGACGCTCCCCCCTCAGGACCTTTGCACATGCTGTGCCCTCTGCCGGGGACACTTTCACCAACCTCCTCCATCTGGTTTCCTTCTCACCATTTGACTTTCAGTACCAATGTCACCTCTGCAAGGCAGCCTGCCCTCATGTCCCTGAGCAGGCAGGTCTCCTCATCATAAGCTCACACAGCAGCCATGAGACTTCACTATAAGGAACTAGGTCTCTAACTTGGGCAGGGGCAGCACCTGTGACAATTAGTCCTCTTTGCGTTCCCAGCATCCTGCACTCGGCCTGTTGCACAGAAGGCCTGCAGCAAACTCAGACTGGAAGTCTGAACAAACCTATGTGCAAATCCCAAAGGTGGGGATGTCAAGCAACTAATTCTCTGAGCCTTAGTTTCCTCATCTGTAAAACTATAACAAAATACTCACTGTGCTGTGCTGTTATCAAAACCCAATAAAATGACATGTGCAATTCTAGCACAGAGCAGGTGCTTGATAGTTACTGAGGGAATGAATGCATAAGCTTGGAGGGCATAGGGACCTGGGATCTCGCAGGTCTCTTTTAAAATATGAGGCAAATAAATAAATTAAATAAATAAAAAATAAATAAAAATAAAATATAAGGGGCAAAGCTTCAAGATTAATACTAAAAAAGAGAATGATAACTTGCAGAGCAATAAACACACACTTTACAAAATACAAGACAAAACATATTTTATAGGTGTATCCACAAGTATGCAAAACAGCAGACAGAATTCTGGAAGGACACAAACTGACCCCAAGGGATGGGACGGGGGGGAGATTTCCATGTTTAAGCATTTCTGAATCACCTGAATTTCTTTATATTCCTTTAGTATTTGCAAAATAAATTAAAAACCGCAAAACAAAGATCCCTGAGGCCCTCCCACCCCTATCGCAACCGTCCACTCCTACTCCCCCAGCATCGGAACCCAAAGGGACCTCCGTTGAGCTCCACTCCAGGGCTGGAACCCCTAGCATGTCCCTGCCAGGGAACTAAGCTACAGCCAGCAACAGGGAGCTCACCACCTCTGAAGGTGGCACTTCGCTTCAGCGTCCTGGGGCCAAGTTCTTGCCCCAGGGGATGAGATTCTCACTCGGCCTAAGCTATTCCCACATGCCTCAGGGCTTCTGGCCCCTCCCCCTCAGCCTGGCTGGGAGCTTCAGTGGTCCCCTCACTTGCCCACGCAGAAGTCCCGGAAGATGATGTCCAAGACCTCCTCAGTGCCGCCTCCGCCAGTGATGCGGCCCAGGTGGCCCCGGGCGAGTCGCAGCGCCTCAGCAGCCAGGGCTAGGTCTTT